TTTACTTTAACTATTTATAACATCACACCTCTGTAACCTAGTGATTTCAAACCAGGTTCCACAGATAGCCAGAAAGCTCTAGTATTTTTCTATGAAAAAAAATTATTTTCAAAATATTTTATATTTTTGTACATAAAACAGGCTAGAGAGGTCATTAGAAGCTCAAAAATATTTTCTGAGCTATTAGGACTATGCTCTAGAGGGCTACCTATATGGCCATGCTAAAATAAATGTTTTGATGTTGAAGGCCAATGTGTAGGTTTCTAAAAAACCACACTCATATTTATTACACACCTTAAGACTGTTCCTCCTATGTCTTTTCTGCTGGGGTTCTACTGTTCAACCTTAACCTTGTTAACCCGGAGCCCGGGGCCGAGTGACAGGCACTGATTGTAATCAGTGGGTTAGGTTTGCGCGCCAACTAACGCGTCTCCAAGAAAGCGTGAAGGGCACGCTACGCGTCCCCCGGAGCCTGACAACGGCGTTTTCTACACCAAAATATCAAAGACGATATCCAAGCTCTAACCCCAGCCGTATACAACCATGTCTAAGCCAAATTCACCAAAAGAAGGAGACATTGCCCTTCCAGACGCCCTAGACACCCCCCCAGAGTTTCAAGATGCAGACTTATGTTCAGCCTCGGATTCGGATTCCCCAGTGGGCAAGATAGATGTGAAGACAGAGCCGCAGACCGATCCCCCGGAACCAGCTTCCCCTGCGGAGATCGAGGTTAAGAAGGAGGAGGGTGGGGATTTGGATAATATATTCAAAGACGAGGAAGAGGACTTTTTCGGTGACGACGATGATGATGCTGACCTCTTAGCATCGGAGGTTGGGGCAGTGTATGTTGCTGCAAGCATCTTCTCTTAAACCGCCCGGGCCGGAGAAGATTATGGGCTAATCGGATTCTGAGTGAAGCTCAATAGTGGCCGGAAGCGGACCTTCAGATCCGCAGGTCATGCTGGCATTCTATCAACGTCTGTTCCCGTTCCGTCCCTTCTTCCAATGGCTCAATCACTCCCCGGTTCCATGCCATGACTTTGGACATCGTGAATTTGCATTCACTCTGCAGAGCTCAGCATATCTGCGATATCAATCATTTCCTACTATGGAACTGTATGCCCCCCCTTCCTCTTCTCCGCCAAGCGCCTAACGTTTCCCCAGACTCCGGAAAGAAATCGTCCGCCTGAACCCCTCCCGTTTTGAAATCGGCCCGGTATATAGTGCCAATCCGCGAGACCGCAAGACACTACGTAAGAACGCCTTCCGCCCACTGAGCAAGGAGCTCGTCTTCGATATCGATTTGACAGATTACGATGAGGTCCGCACCTGCTGTGATAAAGCCAACATCTGCAACTTGTGCTGGAATTTCATTACTGTTGCTATCAAGGTGATGAATGCAGCACTGAGAGACGATTTTGGGTTTAAGCATGTACTGTGGGTGTACTCAGGGAGAAGAGGAGCCCACGCCTGGGTCTGCGATAAGCGTGCGAGGTCGCTGGATGACGCTAAGAGAAGGGCTATTGCGAATTACTTGGAAGTAGTGAAGGGCGGTGGACAAGCAGGGAAGAAGGTCAATATCTGGAGGCCTCTACATCCGCATATTTCGTAAGTCTCTGGCCTCAGGAGCGTGAAGAAGATATAAACTCCTAACAAAGTACGTACGGGGGAACAGTCGCAGTCTAAACCTCCTAAGAGACCGTTTCGAAAGCGACATCCTCCGTGACCAAGACCCCTGGAGTGACAACGAGAAAGCCGAAAAACTACTCCAGCTCCTCCCAGATAAAAGTCCCTCCCCCCCTCCCCCCCCCAACCGTCGAATTGAAAAAAAGCAAGAAGCTAACATCCCCAGCCCTCAACGATGCCCTCCGTAAAAAATGGGACAACCACCCCAACCGCCCTAGCATCAGCAAGTGGGCTGACGTTTACGGCGTAGCTGGAACCGGCGTATCCAAGGAACTTGACAGCACCCGACTGAAAGAGAGCAGGGAGGAGGTAGTCCTCGAGTACATGTACCCCCGCCTCGACGCTGAAGTCTCCAAGCACCTCAACCATCTGCTCAAGAGCCCATTCTGCGTGCACCCCCAGACCGGGAGGGTTTGTGTGCCCATTGACGAAAGGGATTTGGAGGCTTTCGATCCCATGACTGTGCCGACGGTTGTCGGATTGTTGGGAGAGATTGATGCCTGGGATAAGGTACATAAAAGAGAGGGGAAGGTTGATGGTATGCTTTTGTTTTTCCCTCCTTCTTTGCCCCCTCTCGAGTTTGATAATAGGAGTAGTGCTAATGGGGCTTGTAATGGCAGATTACGAGAAGACTTCATTGAAGCCGTATGTCGATTACTTTAAGACCTTCGTGAATGGTCTTCTCCAGGATGAGGCGGCGGTGAAGCGAGAGAGGGAAGGGAACAGTGGAAATTCAATGGAGTTCTGAATTAGATTATATCTATCCTCCTCCCCTTTGCTTGATTCCGTCAAATACCATACTTGTATCATAGAACTACAAGCCCCCACCGATTTCTTTACTTTTATTTTTTTTATTTTTAGGAAAAAATCCCCTTCCGATCATAGATCCTCACTCGCGTGAAAATAAAATTCCCCACCAATACAGCATGATTACCTTCCCCATAAACTCCCCAAGAACCCCCCCTTCTTCCCTCCTTCCTCCACCTTCTTATCCTTGACAGCTCTAGGAGTACCGTCGCTAGGATACTCAATAAAGTTAAACGCCACATCCAAAAACACGGGTTTAACAGGAACCGGCGCGACTTTCGGCGGCCACTGGACAATCCCATTTTCAAAGTCGATCTTGCCCTCAGGATACTGGTCCAACCTCTCCACCAAGGCTCCTGCACCCTTTCCCACGGTTTTGGCAGATTTCGCGGCGATCAAGTCCATCTCCGCGAGGGCTCTGAAGCGCGCCACTTCGTTTTCCAGCGTTGACTTCAGGGACTGGAATTCAGCGGGGGTGATATCTAGGCCTTTATGTGATGTGGGGGTAGCCGCGGACCGGAGGGTGGGTGGGGAGGAGGTAATGTGTGATAGGGCGCGGGCGAAAAGTGCTAGGGCGTTTGTACGATTTGAAAGGATTGCGTGGGAGCGCGCGATCGTGGAGCATTTGAGGGCGGAGAAGTAGGCCTTTTTGGAGTCGAGCTCGTTGGAGAAATGTTCATCGGCGGCGACGCCGGGGAGGCCGTAGACCTGTTCTAGACTCTTTATGAATAATACATTGTCAGAATTGTGGCGATGGGGGGGGAGAGGGTGGGTGGATATGGTGTACTTGTAGAATGGCATCATAAAGGGCTACCTCCTCTTTTAAATGACCGAGCTTCTTAACTCTGACTTCTTCGCCACCCTTCTTGTTCTTCTTCCTGCCTTGGGCTATTCCTTCGAGCATCACACGGTTTCGCGCGATACGCCAACAGATTAAGGAGTAATTTACCAGTGTCCAGGTTAATTGCAGGTTTTGCATCTTTGGATCTCCCATGCTGGCGCCTTCTGCTGTCTGCCCGTCGATGGCCTTTTTGGTTGCGTCTACCGCCTCTTGCCATGCCAGCAGCGCTCCATCGAAAGCCTCGGCCGAGCTAGGATTGTCCTTTTGTAGAGAGAGGTGTGAATTCTCCGCTACCTGAGCTGCTGATAAGGCCACAGAGATATCTGCGTCTTCCACAGGTGCAGTACGTGAGCGCCAGGTTACTGAAGCAACTGCTGCAACACCCACTCCATCCTCCCCCGGTGCCTCCGCAGCAGGGTCAGACAGAGCTTTCGCATCTAGAGCCTCAACCGCCTTCACAATCCTCTCGTCCTGCCTGGGAAAGTGTTGCCTAGCGATGGTCGCGACATCCATATTCCTGGGCAGTTGCAGTTGATACGCCGAGTACCGAATACTTGGATCGACGGTGCTCGTTAATTGGTCTTTGTAAATCTCATTCTTTGAAGTCGATAATAAAGCCGAGTATATGATCTTCGATACAGCGAATGCTTTGATCGAGTCCTCCCAATGCGATTTTTCAAACGCCTCTGACCCGCGCAGTGATGCGGCATAGGCATTTGCTTCTAAGACGTCGTTGTCCGCGGCCCCGGACGCCGGGTCTTCGAGGAGGGCGCATAGCTGTACAGCATAGGACTGAGCTTTATGCAGGCGGGAGACGAGATGTGACTTCATCGCTGAGGATGCGGTGGTGGTGTCGTCCGCTAAGAGAGACTTCATCTGCATTGCGTGTGCCCATGCTCGCTCGGAGGAGTAGAGGTATAGATGGACGAATCTATTGTGGGAATTGAGCAAAAAGGGATTATATGGAAGATTATAGAATGCCATACTTAGGCTCTTGTGCAATTTCTTCAGCGGCCAATGGAGGTTGCGGTGCGTATTTTTTCGATTTGGAGGTCTGCCGGCCAAGTCGTTTTCGGAGAGTTGCTAGTCGACGGGAACACATTTTTCGGACGGCATGGTAGTCCCCCAGCACCTGAGCCTCCTGGCGGAGGGCGGAAACAAATGGGATGATTTCCATAGCTTCAAAAAAGACTATTGGTGAAGCAAGATGGTGGGTGTGAGGAATATAACACAAAGTAAATGCCAATAGTGACTATCTCCCAGTGTTAAGTTTGGTGGGGGAGTCGAGGGACCTAGCGTGCTAAAGGCTACCGAGACATGGGGTATTTCATGTCGCTCAAGAGCCTCTAAAAACCCCAGCACTAAGTGTGGCAGTGCAAGGGACCACAGAGTCCACGCAAGACTGGTAGGAGGTCGGTCACCGTATCGTCTCTCCCCGCTTCAACAACCACAATTGTACCTTTACAACCCATCCCTAATACGGAGACTTCCCTTTCCAGGCTTCTCTCGTGTAATTTCAAGATGAACGAAGCTCCTATTGGTAAATTCTAGCATTCCCGCCGATTTCCCAGTTTGGCTGGCTGACCCCGAGCTCTCTGATTCTAGTTCTCGATGGGGGAACCGGTTTGTAGGTTTATCTGGGCTCCCTTGTTATTGTCGATTGTTGGTGCTTTCGAGGAGACTCCCGAAATTACGGTATTAACGATGTGCTTCAATTTTTGTGCAGCCTTAAGGTCGGATATGCTGGCCAGAACTTTCCGGAACACCAATACCCGTCAATCGTTGGACGTCCGATATTGAGAGCGGAAGAGCGTGCCGGTGATATGGTATGGGATTACCTGTGGATAAGCTATCTTTGGGATGTTACCAGCAAGATGGAGTGCTGATTTTTGTTGGAAACAGATTGTGAAAGATATTATGGTCGGCGACGATGCAGCCGCCGTTCGAACGATGCTACAAATTACATATCCGGTACTACTAGATTTCCCGCGTACAGTACGTGAGCTGATGAGGGCGGTAGATGGATAACGGTATTATCAAAAGATGGGAAGACATGCAGCACGTGTGGGACTACACATTTGCAGAAAAGCTTCAGGTCGATACCACTGGCCGTAAGATCTTGCTCACGGAACCTCCTATGAACCCGCTGAGCAACAGAGAGAAGATGTGCGAAGTTATGTTCGAAAGGTATAACTTTGGGGGTGTTTATGTTGCTATCCAGGCCGTGCTTGCTCTCTACGCTCAAGGTGAGAAACGATGAAATGCCACCATCTAGTCGCACGGAGATAACTAAAACGCCTTAGGTCTAAGTTCCGGTGTCGTCGTTGATTCTGGGGACGGTGTGACGCACATCGTCCCCGTGTACGAGAGTGTAGTCCTCAACCACCTTACCCGACGTCTCAATGTCGCCGGCCGTGATGTTACCCGCCAGCTCATCAATCTTCTCCTCCGCCGGGGGTATGCTTTTAACCGTACTGCCGATTTCGAGACTGTCCGCCAGATTAAAGAGAAGCTATGTTATGTCAGCTACGACCTGGAGCTCGACCATAAGCTCGCTGAAGAGACCACCGTTTTGGTGGAGAGCTACACCCTCCCAGACGGCCGTGTAATCCGCGTGGGCAGTGAGCGGTTCGAGGCACCGGAGTGCCTCTTCCAGCCCCACCTCGTGGACGTTGAGCAGCCAGGAATCGCGGAATTCCTATTCAACACTATCCAGGCTGCCGATGTAGATGTGAGAACCTCCCTATACAAAGCTATCGTACTTTCCGGCGGTTCGAGCATGTACCCCGGCCTCCCCAGCAGATTGGAGAAGGAATTGAAGCAGCTATGGCTCACTAAGGTGCTACACGGTGATCCTACACGACTAAGTGTACGTTCCACTCCTACCTAGCTCCAATCCAATACTATAAATCGTAACTAACACTCACCCTTCCAACAGAAATTCAAAGTCCGGATCGAAGACCCCCCACGAAGACGTCACATGGTCTTTCTCGGTGGTGCCGTTCTCGCGAACATCATGGCGGACAAGGAGAATATGTGGATCACAAAGGCAGAGTGGGAGGAACAGGGCCCTCGTGTAATCGAGAAGTTGGGTTCCAGATAAAATATTCGAGAGAAAGAGGAGCAAAAAAAAAAATAGTACCTTAGTTGTAGATGTTGATTTGCAGTTTCTTTTTCTTCCTTTTTTTCTTTTTTTCTCTGCCCTTCTGATACCGAAACTGAGGGGCCGGTTGGAGGGTTCCCTTGGGGGTTCAATAGAAGTGTGGTTGGTAGAGTTGGGTGATGACGGAAAAGGCAACGTCTCATGTTGCAGGTGGGAGAAAGTAGTTGCGTTTTTTTAGGCCTGGTTTGGTGTCGGGCTGCGTGTGTAGAGTGGTTCGGATATCTACGCACTAGCTTCCCCCATCCCCCTAGAAAGACGTCATGTTTTCAGCGCCCCTTGGTTAGAAGGGGCTTCAGGGAGTGAGACTGGAGACTTAAGGTCCACCATCAATGTTCCGTCGTTGAGCTTCCGAGAAATCTAGTGAGAGAAAGTCCTCGCATAACTTGCCGTGCCCAGATCTGTTTGATCCCTAGTCAGGAATCCCCAATAGAAAAAATATGTGGATGATTGGAATCACTGGAATAACGCCCTGATGGCACATATAAAACCCTGGAGGACTGGAATATTTGCGCGAACTCCTCAAGTCATCCGCAGATAGGACATTCCTTTGGGTTTCTCTTATTCTTGAAATTTTGAAGGATAGTGAGGACGGCTGCCCGGAGGAGTTCGCTAGCATTATCTCCACGGCCCCGCGTGATCTGGTAGAACTATATAATACGTGGAGGATGTTTTAGTACTAACTCAAATACCTCCATTATTCCGGTGATAAGTTTACTTTGACAAGTTAACAGAATTGAGAATATCATACCAATAAACGTGACCCAACACGCGCTGAACGCTAACTATTAACCATCAGAGGAGATTTTGGCTCAGAATCTGGAGAGCACAGAGGTGGCTGTGGTAATAGATTTCGAGAGTTTTTAGAGTTCCCAGATTGGGGGAAGAAGTCCACTATACTTTTTTCCCCAAGAACATCCCGTGGCAGTACCCTCCTCGCATCCTTTTGGAGAGGTTCTGGGTTAGATGGCCAAGGAATTGTAGTCTGAGAACCCTGTATTTCGGTGTGCTTTGCTTCTCGTTCCTTCAGAGTTTCCTGTAATTTCAATGTATGTGAATCGTGAAAGGGAAAAAGTATGAGGGAGGCAAGGTCATACTGTTATTTGGGATCCGCAGGATTAACTTCGGAGAAGTTGGGAAGTCATTTAGAAATTTATCGGCTCTATTGAAATGTATTGGGTGCAGTAACCGAGCTTGAGACAAATTCTTGTTCCTGAAGCCAAAGCGTCAGCTTCAAGCTCTCTCTCACGCACGATAATCAGATACCATGATCAACCTTATCTCACTTCACTCCTCTTAGAGTACTTTGTGGGCCTTCTCCACTTTTCGGACAAGCTATCCTTATAGACCAGGGCACTATTTGTCGTTCTCCTCTCCAGGAATGTTTTTGCACTCCCTGGTATTTGTAACCTCCGGGAGTGGGAATTTACAAGTTTCTCTCATTGTGGATTTGGATATAACTGCCGGCTAGTTTGAAGGTTAAAATCGGCAGTTACTAGGGGCTCGTATGATAAGGTGTGGATCATGGCTCATATAAATATACGCTCTCGCAAGTCTACGGTACTTGACTGATAAGCTAATGTGACATTTATAGAATAAGGTTAGTCCAGAGCGAAGTACGAGTACTCGAGTACTCGTGATATCCTCGAATCAATGAGATCGGTACCGTACTACAGCGTAGGCGATTCCCTAGACTTTCTAGGCAGGAATTAGGAGAATTTTCCCACTCCACAAGGAGAGAAGAGAAAGCTTAGGATCATGATTGGGGTGCGTTGCAAAGTATGATACCTTTTGTATGGGAAATATGTATTGGGTCTGAAGCACCTTCCATCCGTCATCATTACTTCTAGTCTTGAGCCGCAGGCACCAACAGAGCTTTTCACAAATAAATAAGAATATATGGATGGCTCTAAAGACCTTGCGTGGTTTTAGCCTTTTTTTCCAAGCGACAAGGCTGAGATTTTGCAAGTTGGAAGTGCACATCTCTAGCCTTAAAATGGGGGGGGCAAGAACCTTGTCAGCCAGAGTGTGCAAGTTGCTGCATGCCGCCCATCTATCCCTTCCCCACCTTCCCCATTCTTAATCTTGTTTTCAGCACATGGGCAATCGAGAACTGGTTTCTCACAAGCCATGAGATGTATGAGTGGCATTTTGATGACAAACATTGCATAGTGTACATTGAGCGGGTAGAGTTTTCGTGGTACCTGTAGTATGATTAGATTACCTCTGTCGAGGTTCCAGCCCAAACCACGGCATGCTTACGAACGAAATTCCACGGGTGTGATGTAATACCCCACCGAATGGGACCGCAATGCTACAACAAAAGTTCACCGGTGCTGAGATATCTCTGATCTATTGGATCAGGGCTGTAGTAAGCCTAATTCCCACGCTACGGAGATTACCATCTAAGCGTCCACCTCCATAGCATCTCCTTCCGCACCCCCACTAGCCAGAGCATCGCCCAAGTCGACTATAGTGACATACTTCTTCAAGTCCTTCTTCTCAATAACCATCTCCTTGATATATCCGGTTGTGCCACGAGCAAACTTGTACGACATCTCCTTGGGCATACGTTCATTCGGCATGATATGATTGCGCATGAGCGTCGCCTATCCATCCCTCAATCAGCCAGCCCCTCTCCCCTCCTGCGCCCTGCACTGAGAGGGGTGAAAAGAAAAAAAAAGATGAAACATACCTTCTCAGGAGTGATGACACAAACATCGACATTGCTTCCAGACCCCAAATCGTTGAAAATACCCGCTAGGATGGCCTCAGAGCAAAGATCAACCGCTTTCTCCTTGGTCAGGTGCTTCCCCCACTTTGTCTCGAAGACCGCCATCGCGGCGAGGGAGCCAGAGCCCATGGTGACATACGGCAGCTTATCGGTGGACCCGTGGGCGTGGACGGTGAAGAGGTGGGTACCTGTCGGGTCTACGCCTGCGACGACGAGGTATGCGCCAATGTGCCCCTGGTAGCGGAAGAGGTGCTGCTTTAGGAGGGTCATGCAGGTCACGACGCGAGGTTTGCGGCCCGTGCTTAGGCCGTGGAGTTCGAGCTGAGAGGAGATTAGAGCTGTTGTGAACTCTGTGCTGTGGGCGGGTGGTGTTGCATTAGCTGGGTTGGGAGCAGAGGGAGGGAGGGGGGTGTGTGAAGAGGGGTTTACTCCGCAGCAGTTCCGGCTCCTAGGGAGGATCTTAGCTTCTTGACGATAGGGATATAATAGGTAGATAGAGGGGCGAGAACACACCAGCACACCAAATCTGGGGAGAAATAAAATGCAGTTTTTCACAGTTCTTATCGGCGACGATAGGACCGCTGGTAGCTCTTGTGTCTTTATCCCACGGTTCCAATGATTAGTGACCTCCTCTCCTTCCCCTCACCCAGCAACAGCCCCTTCCAACAGGGCATGAATAGCACAAACCAGCAGCTATGACAACCCCCCCATCAAAAATACATCCCACGATGGTGGTCCCCGTAGAAGTAGCTTTGGGCAAAGGCATGCCCTTAGCGTGTAGCGCCGCATTACGGGTGTGGTTGGAGAAATCGAAGCCGGGCATTCTAATATTGCTTTTTCCTTTCTTTTTGATCGCTGGTGTCTTTGGGAGAATGGGCTGGTGATAGATTTGTGATGGATGGATGGAGGTAGGTAAGGGATATCCTGGTGGAAGTTTTGCGGTTGAAGGTATGAGGTGAGGTTGGAGGCTCTATGGTAAGGAGAGCTGGACCAGGAGTGTCACTCCAATTTCTTGGCATCCCACATTTCGGTCATGGCATGTCACTCGGGTGGGCGCGTTGTGGGGTGGTGGGGTGTTCCTGGGGAAGTCGCTAAGGGCATGCTACCGGTATCATACAGTATCTAACAAACTCCTTCTACATGTGTTATGACACCAGGATTGCTGATTAAGTCAGCTTCAAGTAGCTCCCAAACCCCTCGTACTGTTTCACCTGCTCCACCCTAACGCCCTCCTGCTCCTCTCGGGTTTCGAGGGCCTTGACTTTCCCGTGGTCCCATTTTGCCAGAAATTCCTTCAGAGCTGTAACCGTCTCCTCATCGTCCTTGATTATGAAAGCAACAGCATCATATCCACCAGCGCCAGGAACCACGCCGCCAAGCACCCCGGGGACATCCGTAGATACTGCGTCCAGTAGCTTCGTCTGCTCCTCCGGTTCAATAGGCACGTCCGCTGCCCCTCCCATGGCACGAAGATTCTTCCTAATATCCAGGATCTGCCTTCTGACGCTATCGTGACTGCCCTCACTCAACTGCGCAAGTAAACTAATAAGTTTACGGTTTACCCTCTCGAGTTCATCCCATTGCTCTCCTGCAGCCTCCTTCTCACTCTCCCGCCAGGTGAGGACCTTCTTGACCATTCCAGGAGTGGAGCTTCCACAGTCAACATCTCCCATAATTACCCTCATGCCCTTTGGAATCTCTGTCTTCTCAATTCCCATATCCCAGTTCCTATCTACAGCTTCTCTCAATTCTTGGGAGAACCCGACTGTGTTTGCTTCCGGGAGTGATTGCAGAATCGACGGGGAGAAGCGGCGGTACACGCACGAGCCGAAGACTGCTGCTGCTACGTCGAAGCCGCTCCCAACTTTGCCTTGGGCTGCGCAGTGGGCCGCTTGTGAGAGGTTGTGAATTTTTGTCAAGTTGGAGGAGACGGAGAGTTGGAAGGGTGTGGGAGAGTACATTTGGAGGAGGCAGGCCGTTAGGGAGGTGACTAGCGCTGCAGAAGAGCCAAGGCCAGTTTTGTGCGCGGCGGAGAGAGGGACGTTCAGATTGTTGAAACGCTGGGGTGGAGTGGTAGAGGCCGGCTGGGAGTAGTAGTCGTTGTCTGCTAGGATTGCGATCTCGCTACTGGGTATCTTGGACAAGGAGAGGTATGAGAGCACGTAGCGGATGGCGGTCTCGATGAAAGTGTTGTCGGAAGAGCTAGCTGGAAATTAGCCCCAATTGGATTGAAAGTTTGGCAAGGGAAGATACTCTTTATCTGTAACTTGCTCCACAGATGCCCCGTTCTTGGAGGGAGATGCTGTATACGTCCATGTCGCATTTGAAAATTGAGGGGACCTGACAACTATTGTCCCGGCCTCCGAAGCCGAGATTGTGGAGATTGTATGAATCCTGGCGGTTAGGCCGAACACTAGGCCAGAATAGTTCTTGTCGAGGACAAGGTAACCTCCTGCGAGGAGGACCTTCCCTGGCGCCGAAACTGCAATTGACATGAGTGCTTGATCCAGGTACAAAGTTAGCGGTACGAAGATTGCAGGGCTTGGATTTCATTTTCAGTGGGGAATGCACAAAATTGCGGGGGTTTAAGCTTCAAGTTAATTTCCGGGAGTGGCCGGGTAACCTAAGCAACGATATCTCATCTTTCTACGCGTAGGTTTTATCGTATCACTCCAAAATTCGCGCACGCAGGAGGGTCTAAAAAAAAAATCCCCGAATCCCACCGCCACAGAAAGGTCACTCAGGGTTTAATGTAATTCGATTGATGAGGGAAAGGCGTTTGTTGTTTCTATCTAAATTCCCTCGCCTCAACCCACACACCCTATTTTATCCCCAGACCTTAAGTGTTAGAAGACAAGATATCCGAGTCGCCCTGGTCGAGGATAGCCATGGTTGAGCAACGGAAGAGTTTACCACAGGCAGTACCAAGCTCAATCTGTCCAACCCAGAAATTAGCAGAGTTATCCCTCCGAAGCACCTCGCTTCTTCTCAGGGATGAAGTCGCAGTTCAATGAACAGCTTCTCCTTCGAGAGTATCAAGTAGGGGAAGGACGGAATGGCTATATCTTACGTTGTTACCGGCAAAGTGATGAACGTGGCACTTGCCCAACATGGAGTAGTACTCGAGCTCGGACTTGCGGAGAGGAGGTGTGTTGCCTGCCGAATCTATCAGACTGTGCTCGGAATACGGTCACTTGCATCAGAGCTCTAGACATACCGGCTATGATAACAAGCTTAGCTTTTCCAGAACGGAGAGTCTTGAGGGTGGACTTGTAGCCGAGCACGTATTTCCCTGACTTCATGACGAGAGCTAGGCGGGTGTTGATGCTGTCGGCGGTCTTCTTGGTCTTCTTTGTTGGGGCTGCAAATTTGGCATCAGTTTCTGTGCTGAATAAAGTCCATCTGTGGTGGGATTTTTGGGCCTACCCATCGCTGCGCTTTGTTTGTAGAAGCACTCCGGTTTCTTTTAGAATGTGAATTGACGGGCGGTGGGCGAGTTTGTGAATCTTCACTATGTCAAGGAATTATCGGATAATTTTAGGGGAAGAAGGCCTCTCGGAATTTGTCGTTCCCATGGTGTGGTGAAGGAGTGACTCTGTTAGGGCATGCCCTGACCTGGATTTCCAAAAGGATCTTATCTGATCGCCCAACTACGGCTAAGGGAAGGTCTAGCAAAGACGAGTGCAAAATCATGATGGCGCCACACTACCGTACTAATAAAGATATGATAAAGTTATCATACTCAAGTACAGAACTCGAGCTGACGATCAGCACCAGTAGATTTTATTGTTTTTCCTGTGGGAGCAGTGTACAGTACAGTACTAGGCAACTTAGAGCAGCTACAGTATTTTCACCACCTATGGCATGGTAATAACGGGTGTCTGTTTGCGCTCCGGAAACTTTAGTCTCTAGCTCTGTTATTCGGTGAAGAGTATACGGTGCTTGTATGATCTAACGATCCGTTGCGGTTAGTGACCCCATTAAAGTACTGGTAGGATCTAGTACAAGAATGTGGCGTTTGCCCGGATCAGATGTCGATGCATTTCCGGGAAGGAGAAACTATACAGTGCCGAGACTGCCGCACAAAATTTGTAAAGTGACCAGAAATCAGAGGACAGTTCACAACAAAAGAAACCCGTCCATCTCCATAATATGGAACCTTCCCGATTATTTACAGCGTAGAAAAGGAAAAAAAGGCGGAAGGAAAAAACTCCTCAAAGCACCACCCAGACAAGTTAGAAGACAGATATCAGAACTATGCAGTGCTTGATTCTCTTCCCTCAGAGCCGCCAACAAAAAGGCTACGGTTCTCCACCGCCAGTAATTTCGTCAATTGGTCGCCCTCCCCTTCGAGCTCCAAGAGAGTCTTTCCCTTGAGATCGACTTGGCCCTCCAGCCAGGCCAAGAAATCTGCGCTAGGAGTGCAAGCTTCCTCACCTGAGAACTTGCGCTTCAAAGCGCTCAAGGCGCTGAACACCTTACTCTTGAACTCGTCATTCTCAAGATCTTCCTGGTTAGATCGGTTCAAAAGAGCATCCTCAAAATGTCGATAGAAGTTTCTCTCATCGTCAAGGACACGATCGGGGCGATAACGATTCGGAATGTTATCCTGCTTCTTGACACTGGCCTCGGCCTTCAGCTCCGACTCCGCACGCATATCATCGTTAAGGAAGTTATCTTCGACAAAGGTGGCCGTCTTAACCATGAACTCGGCGTTGCCTTGTGCGAAAAGGTCTTGTAGCGTGCGCATTCCACCTCCAATAAGGAACTCGGATCGAGTGAGAGGAGACTTGATAGCTTTGTTGAGAGCATACAGGATCCGTGCCTTAGCACCAGCATCCTTCTCCACCGCGAGAGAGGACAAGAGCGAGCGGATCAGGGGGACGTGAGGGTCCGAGGTGGCCGAGGCGAGAGCCTTGGGATTGTTCGACAAAGCGCTTCCCAAAACAAGGGCGGAGTTCGACCTGATGGAAGCATCGGGTGCGCTTCCGATCAGACGCAAAAGACTAGCGACATAGCGTGGGGCTGAGATTTGCAGTCCCCAGTAGATTTCGTGTGCAGAGTCCTCGAGCGAAAGAAGGGCAGCGGTGATATCGGAGGTTGATCGAGAGGATGTATCAAGGATTACCTCCAAAGATTCGCCAAACGTCACGCCATCCCCAGGAGAAGACAGCGGGGGTTTGATAGCTCCGTCATCAGAACTCGGCACCCGTTGCTCAGAGTGGCCATCGGGTGGTAATGATTCCGCCCCCTGATCCGGTAGTACTATGACGCCATTGACAGCTTCCGAGCCGTCGTCCACGTTTATTTTCGCTTCCTTAAGTCCGGTTTCGAGATTGAGCCTGTAGTGAAGCCCAGGGGGCAATTCCTGATCGTCGCGCACAACCTGAAATTCATGGGTAGGTTGGAAGACTCTGGGGTAACAAGTCCCACTATGGCATATGAGATCCGACGAATCTTGGTAAGAGGCGCGCTTAGGCTGATCATGGGTTCGCTGACTGATCACAGCAGTGACGAAAGCAAGCGCAGCTACGAGGTAAGGGAGAAGCAAAGGCCTCATGGTTGACTCCGCTGTCGTGAAGGGTGATGTCTCGCTCCTCTCCGTCTAAGCGAGCGCAAAGAGGAAGCCGTTCAGAGAGATGGCGTGCGGGCGGTATGGGTTGCGGGGGAATGGAGTAACTCGTATGGCAACCGGGGCTGTTAAATTGATATATACTGTACTGGTATTGAATCTTGAAGAGGTGCGGGTGAGCGGGTGAGTGTGTACGGTACGGGATTTGTGGGAAGATATACCGGTACTTGTAGTATCATAGTACTGTACCGGTAGGAGTAGCTTACAGGTGTCTCAAACGATCAAGCCAGTTTGTTATAAAGTCTTTCCACCAATCACGGACAAATGCCTCCACCCTCTACGAGCGCTGTGCAGTGCTCGAGACACCGGTAATTAGAGCGTGTCCTGTTGCAACGCTAAATCTCTATGATACTTGTATGATACTTGTATAATAGTCTACCGGTAGAGTAGCGAGCACCTCCACGAGAGGATAGGGTATCTTACGGTAGGCTACCGTGTATTGCGCTATGCTCGGACCGAATGAAAAGGCTGGCTCGTTTATACTGCTCGCTACCCTACCGGTATCTTGCTCAGAAGCCCGTCAAGTTGCTACCGGCAGGCGATTTTTTTTTTTAGCACGATACGGTACCGTACTGTACTGACATTCAGAACGGAACGGTAAAGGGTAGGTGATCCGGTTATGGCATGATAAATGTCTATAGGTATAGTACTCGTACTCGTACGAATGTAGTACGATAGCAGTGGCGGTACCACACCGGTACTCGATCACGGTGCAAGGTATAGGCATAAAAGGGGGTACAGTACGGTACAGTACGAGCTTGGCGACAAAATTCGCCGACCCCCCCCCATTTTACACCAAAAGTGGCTGATCTCACGCAGTCGCAACTCATCCGGAAACAATCAAGAACTGGTGGGATTAATATGATACTTGTAATGTAGGAAATTACCTGGGCTTTGTGGGAAAAAATTATCAGAATTTTCCCACTGCACAATAATGGCTGGGAGCTTAGGGTCCAGACTGAACATGGTTGTAATGTATATACCTTTTGTATGGGAAACTCATACAAAATTTGAAGTACCTTTTGACTACTCCTATGCTTTATGGGATTGTGCCATGGATATTTATTAATACAACTTGATACTTATAAGCAATAATATCTAGATGGTTCTAAAGGTGCTAGCATATTTCCCATTTTTTGTAGACCAATAAAGCTGTGGTTTTGCAAAGCGAAAATACTCATTTTGGGAGTAAAATGGGGAGGGGGTCAGCGAATTTTGTCGCCAAGCTCGTACAAGCACTACCGGTATACCGTACAAGCACAGTGCAGGGTAAGTTACAGTGCAGCCGGCAACCATACTGCCATCCTACGGAGAATATGCTGCGGTGGTGAAGTGCCCACACACCCTTTAGTTCACTGGGTAGTTTTGCAATTTCAAATGTTGCCAGTGAGCACGAGAACGGTAGGGTACCGGTAGTAGCATACCGGTATTTCCGGGCACCACTCCTATCATAACAAATACTTGTACTCGAGTACACGATGGTGCGGCAGATAAGACTCATAAGAGTCATCCCTAGACATAAATTTAGAAAATGAAACACTACGAGTATAATACCCTCTTTTAAATGAACCGCTAAGCTTTAAAAGACAAACAAAGCGAGGCCATCTGTACATACCGTACCATTCATCGAGATTTTCCTTCATCAATTGCATACCTGGGGTACAGCATGGGGGGAAATGTCCTCTTCTCAGGCGCACCGCCTCCGCTGAGGCATTACTCATGTACTCGTACAGTACGGTACTGTACCATACTGGTATGACACCGCTTTTTTATGCCTGACCCCTGTCACGGGCCTGGTAACAAAATAAAGTGCCCCTTCTTTTCGATATGCACCTGCGGTATCCAGCAACAGATACCGGTAGTGTGAGAAATTTGGTAATTTTTCATTTTTGACAGAGAGTTTGACCCGGAGACTCAGATAGTTGGATTTCAGGGCTACAGGAAATTGTGCTACAAAAACTGAAAGAGACCGAGTTCTGGATTGGAGGTCAAAATATATGCCAAGACTGCTGGTTTGTGTAATATGGGACCTTGCATACCGTAGTAGTTGACTGGTCCACTTTCTTATCTTTGCACCGGCATTTGAGACAGTCCATGACAATCAGATTCTTAAGGAATTCATGATGTTAAGCCCTCATGGATTTATCATATCATCAGAGCTTGCGAGACAGGATCCATTGTGATCGCTTCGGCTAATCGAAGATGGGAATTTTGTATGGGAAGCACAGGGAGGCACATTTCTTTTGCTGTTGCCAGTATCGTATTCATGCCCAATACCGGTATAAATTACCGGTAGTGAAAACGCTGTACTTTACATAATCACAGCAGGAACGAGGGGCAACATTCCATAGACTATCACATCGGCAACCCGAGCTGCGGGCGGAAGAACACAGCAAACATATAATATCGTACCGGCGCTCATATGATGAAAGCACTTCAAGAGCAGGTTATTGGGAAAGAGCGGTAGAGTCACATGATTTTCTTTCGTCATTTTTGTACCCCCAAGTGCTCGCCCCGCAGAACCTCACATAAGAGGAATGCAATTTTTTCGCCCCTACCAAACTACAGTGTCGTGGGCATCTAGACGCGGAACCTTCCTATTCCCTCCCCTTCCCCACCACAACTCCCTTCTTCATCCCATCCACCGCCATTCCCCGGGCACTCCAATACGAGCACGCTTGCCCGGGTTGTCATCAACCACGCCGATTTTTACTTGCTGTGGCCTTCACTCGTCCCCCATAATGGCATCTCCCCTCTCTACTGTGGAGTGGCCGGCCAGCCTAGTCCGAAAAACCTTCATTGATTACTTCAAGGATAACGGTCATGCATTCGGTAAGTTCCTCCTTTACCTCCATTTGGTCAGTGGGAATTGTTACGACTTCAGTGAGCTGAACCCGTTTCGAACCGATAGTGCCGTCTTCTTCCGTGGTGCCTCTTTCCGATCCGACTCTGCTGTTTGCGAATGCTGGCATGAACCAATACAAGTCGATTTTCCTTGGGACTGTGGATCCCTCATCGGACTTTGCCAGTTTAAAACGCGCTGCAAATTCACAGAAGGTGTGTGAATATTCTTTGTCTCGGGGGGCGTGAGATCATGAATCTAATTTGTGTCTTAGTGCATACGAGCTGGGGGTAAGCACAACGATCTCGATGATGTTGGGAAAGATAGCTACCATCATGTATATTTCACCTGCCGGGATAGCTGCAGGCACCGGATGTTGCTGACACTCCCGATAGACATTCTTCGAGATGCTTGGCAATTGGAGTTTCGGTGACTATTTCAAGAAGGAAGCAATCGAATACTCATGGGAACTATTAACAGAAATATACGGTATCGACCCTGATAGGTTGTATGTTACGTATTTTGAGGGAAATAAAGAGCGTGGACTGGAGCCGGACCTGGAGACCAAAGAGCTCTGGAAAGCCGTCGGCGTTGCTGATGACCACATCCTCACGGGGAATATGAAGGACAACTTCTGGGAGATGGGTGATCAGGGCCCATGCGGACCCTGTAGCGAGGTTCACTATGACCGCATTGGTGGTCGCAATGCCTCTCACCTGGTAAACATGGACGATCCCGATGTTATTGAGATTTGGAACAATGTTTTCATTCAGTACAATCGTGAGCCGGACGGTTCGCTCCGTTCTCTACCTAATAAACATGTTGACACTGGGATGGGATTTGAGCGCTTGGTATCCGTGCTACAGGACAAGTCTTCCAACTACGATACGGATGTTTTCTCTCCTCTGTTCCAGAAGATTCAGGAGGTTACAAAAGCGCGGCCTTACGGGGGAAGGTTTGGCGCGGAAGATGTTGACGGAATCGACACTGCGTATCGTGTTATAGCAGACCATGTCAGGACTCTAACTTTTGCCATCGCCGATGGTGGCGTGCCAAACAATGAAGGTCGTGGCTATGTGGTAAGACGGGTTCTACGCCGGGGAGCAAGGTATGCTCGCCGTTACTTTCAGGCGCCGATTGGCGAGTTTTTCTCCAAAATTGTTCCGACTCTGGTCCTTCAACTGGTACGTTTTGCTACTTAAATGAGTCAATGTGCTGTCTAACTCCTTCCCTCGCCAACAGGGCGATGTCTTTCCAGAAATAAAAAAGAGAGAGACTGACGTCAAGGAAATCTTAAACGAGGAGGAAGAGTCATTTTCCAGGACCCTAGACAGAGGAGAAAGGATGTTCGAGGTTTTCTCGAAAAAATTGATGGAGCAGAATTCAAAGGTTCTCAATGGTACCGATGTCTGGCGTCTCTATGATACCTTTGGGTTCCCCGTCGACCTTACTAGAATTATGGCTGAGGAGAATGGTCTTGAAATCAACGAGGAGGAATTCGAAAGAGCGAAGGCTGAGAGTAAGGAAGCCAGCAAGGCCAGGAAGAGTTCCGAAAACGTTGAATTGTTGAGGCTCGATGTACATGGCCTTGGGAAACTAGAAAAAATGATGGAGGTGCCCAAAACTGATGATGTCTACAAATTTGGTGAGATTCCCCGGCTCGATACAACAGCTGCCATTTCTAGTGCTATAGGGCTAACGATGGACCAGGAAGGGGAAATATTACTGGCCACATAATGGCTATTTATTACGACAAGTCCTTTCGCCCCTGTACAATGGAAGTCGCGGCTCCCTTCTCTCCTCCTCAAGTCGGCATTATTCTTGACAGGACAAATTTCTATGCCGAACAAGGCGGTCAGGAATATGATACCGGAAAGATACTCATAGATGGTAAGGCCGAATTGTATGTTCAGAATGTGCAGGTATATGGCGGATATGTTCTGCACACCGGATACATGAAATATGGCACCCTCTCTGTGGATGATGACGTTATATGCGAATATGACGAGGTGAGTTGCTTTCGGAAGCGTCCAGCACAACTCTTCGGTTGATAATTTTGGATTTAGTTTCGTAGATGGCCTATCCGCAACAATCATACCGGAACTCATGTGCTTAATTATGCTCTTCGGGAAGTTCTTGGGGACGGGGTCGACCAGAAGGGATCTCTGGTTGCAGCGGAGAAACTCCGCTTTGACTTTTCTCACAAGTCTGGGGTGACCGACGCGGAATTGGAGGAGATTGAGAAGATATCTACCAATTATATCCGGCAAAATCTGGAAGTTTATTCTGAAGACGTGCCGCTGTCGGTTGCAAGGGAAATTGAAGGTGTCCGTGCGGTATTTGGCGAAACCTATCCGGACCCAGTCCGTGTTGTCTCCGTTGGCGTTCCCATCGAGGAATTGACTAGGGACGTCAAGAATAAGGAGTGGAGGAAAGTTAGTATCGAGTTCTGCGGTGGTACCCACGTTCAGAATACCGGTGACATTAAGGATCTGATCATCCTCGAAGAAAATGGAATTGCGAAGGGGATTCGTCGTATTGTGGCAGTGACCGGTCAGGATGCTCATGAGGTCCAGGAGGCAGCTTCGAAATTTGAGGAGCGGATCAATGCTCTGAGCAAACTTCCTGCAGGCCCGCGCAAGGAAGCTGAAATCAAATCGGTCCAAGCTGACCTCAATGGCCTCGTTATTTCTGCCGTCAAGAAAGTTCAGCTAAAAGACAAGTTCGGCAAGATCCATAAACAATTGCTCGACGACCAGAAGGCCAAGCAGAAGGCGGAGCTTAAGAAGGCCATCGATATAGTGACTGAGCACTTCAAACAGAACCCGGCCTCGCCATATCTGGTTTCCAAGTTGCCAATATCTGCAAACTCCAAGGCTCTCAGCGACGCTATTAAGCACGTTCAAACAAAAGCCAAGGATAAGACAGTCTACCTCTTTGCTGCTGATGATGACGCTGAGGGCAAGGTTGTTCATGGTTGTTATGTTGCTGAGGCATGTCTACTGTCCGTCCTTGTCCACGTGTTAGATGTTGAGCTAACCGAATGTCTTTTCAGAGTATCGGAAAACAGCTCAGTGCAAAAGACCTGGCCGATTCGATCAGTCAAATTGTCGGTGGAAAGGCTGGCGGGAAAGGTGCCACCAGCCAGGGCATTGGTAACAAGGTGGACAAGGTGGACGAAGCAGTTGATGCAGTTGTGAAGGCGCTCGGGCAACTGAACCTGTAGTTTCAAATTATTATCTCTTTCATTTTCTATCCCCTCCTCCACCTTTCTTTCGGTCCATCTCTTTTCTTGATTCAATTTTGTGGGCGCTACCGTATTTTCGGCGCTGGGGAATTTGCTTGGCTGGAATAGAATTGCGTGTTGCTTGAAGGCTTGTGGAAAGCAAAAGAGGGGGGGGGGATATCAAGCGATGTTGTCACTGGCATGCCAATCTCTGGAAATAATTGTTTTTTTTCTTTTCGTTTTTTTATCTTTTTAGAGAGAATGCTAAAGAAATGAAACCCGCCCCACCAATCCAACAGTCCAAGCACCGCAATGGTAATATATATATGGTGGGGGGATGTGAGGCAAAAGAGGAGGAAATCCCTTTCTTCTCTTTCCTTCTTTCTATCTTTCTTCCCTTACAGGGTGAGTACGGAAGCCCGATATGAGTTCAAATCAACATTTTTAGGTTTTTAAAGCCGGACAAGAAATAGATAAATGCAAAGGTAGGGTGGCTGTTCATTACTCCTCCATGGCATCTCCCGAAGATTGAGGACCTTCCCGAAGCTCCCTCTCCAACCTGGCGACTTCTTCCAGGCTCTTTGCGGCTCTGATCCTCGCCTCGATGCTTTTCCTCTCGGCGGCGCTTAGCCTGACAGTGTACTCCTTCTGTCCACCGTTCAGCGGCTCGCTAACATCGAAAGTCTTTGACTTGATCCCCATAATCTGCCATTCTCAACCGGTCAGCCACCATCACCACCGCCACCCCCCATAACCGTCGAGGAAGGCGTGAACAAACCCTAGCAGCTAAAGCCGACGGCTCGCTCGCACTCCCAAACAGCCTACCGGCGCCCACCCTCTCGACATCCTTCACCTTCCTGTAATCCAAGAAGCGCACGCTGGGACAGCGCCAGATGACCCAATACCTGTAATTCTCCTTGCGTGTGACGGGGTTGTCGAGGAGGGAAAGGTGCGTCAGGCGCGTGAACCGGGCGAGCGGGTCAAGGTCCGAGAGTTCGGAGAGGTTGTTAGCGGCGAGCGCGAGGACGGTCAGGTTGGGAAGGGTGGAAGCGAGGGTGGGCTGGATGGTGGATATCCGGTTACGCGCGAGTAGGAGGGTCTTTAGACGTTCGCTTAGGGGGAAGTTTGCCAGGGCTTGGATGTCGTTGTCCGTTAAGTCTATGGCATCTTGTGGCTGTTTTTTTTTTTTACAAGGTATCATTAGATAGTGCACAGGGGGGGGAGGAGAGGGAAGACGTACACCTGCAACACCTAGATTTTCGATGGCGGGAATCTTGTGGCCTTTTTTTTTTGGAGGGGAAAGAAGAGTTTTAATCACCGAGTCTCTTTCTTGTATGGGGGTCTCTCTCTTTCATAGGAAGTGTAGTGGCTGAACGGGTTGTAACGCACCTCGGAGATCTAATTCGCGGTCGTTGAGCGGGTTCAGGTAGCTAGGAGCGGCCTGCAGGAGCTCTGTCGTTAATCTCATTTTGACGGGTGGATTTTGTGGAACCGGCGGGGGGGGGAGGAGGGAGTGAGGGGTGGAATAAGGATGGTTTGTGGTGGGAAAGTTGCGAGGCTTTAATAATGGTATGATACCGTACGGAGGTAGTCTATAGGATGAGGGTTTGAGGTTCAATGGAGCACCGAGTCTGTGTTGCACGCGTTGTGAGAGGGTTGCGGGGAGGTTGACGTTGGGGTTGGGTTGGGCTGCCAAGCCTGCCCCACGCACAGAACACTTCCCAATTGGGGGGAAAGAACAGAAAGGGCTATTAATGAATGAGATGGGGCCCAAGAGGGTTGGTATGATACCCGAAGAATTTGAAAGTTTTCCTCAAGATGATACGAGCACCACTGTAGCATGCCTGGTTTGAAGGATGCTTCTTACAGAGCTCCTTACATACCAGTAATCGTACTCGGACTCTATGGTATCGTAACTGAACTCTACAACTACCAGCACCGGTAACAGAGCAAAGCGTACTCGAGTAGCGAGCCCCACAGCATCAAACACCAGAAGAATCCCATAACGGGAACCCCCGAGCCAGAACCACCCGCACAAATTCAGACAGACTCCCCACCAAACACCGTTCAATTTAAGGGACTACCACACTACGAAAAAAAAATTAAAAAATGACGAAACAATAATTATAATATTATTATAATAAATGTCCAGCTAATCATTGCGATCGGTCTCATCCTTGAAACAGCGGAAACCAACCGCACCCAAGATCGGCCGTTTTCCCTCTCCATCCCCATTAAGCTCTCGGAGAATAATAAACTCCCGGGTCATGGAAAGCGCAACTCTTGTCGGCCGTCTCGCAGGTAAAAATTTATTTGAACATTTTCGAACTTCCGGAATGGGGGACGTGGAAATTTGCGTTGTTCATGGAGAGGAAAGGGAGAGAGAGAGTTCGGGGCCTTTGGACCCTTCCTTGGCTTTATGGACCGGTTGTTGGAGGGTTACCCGGATGTTTGGACTTGGCGTCAAGTTGTTACGGTATCACACCGGCGGTGGCTGGTGGTGGCTAGGGCCTGGTGAGGGGTTTTTTCGGAGGCTTCCACCGGTGTTGTGGTGGGGGGGTTGTCATCTCGCTGTGGGGAGATGTTTCCGCACAAGAACGGGGCTTAAATTTTTTTCGGTGGTTAATAATCCCTGTCCTGTTCGAAAACATCTCCTGGTTTCGGCTCCTGTGTGATATCATACAGGGTCCAGCAAGAAGTTACGAAACGGTTATGGGGTTAACCGGCCAAACACATATCCCCGTCCGCTACAGTTAACCGGTTCCTACCCTCATACAGGCTTGTATGATATGGAAACTTGTGATAGTTGCGGCATTGAGATATCATATCATACATGCTTACCAGTACTCGCGCAGGATTGAAAAATTGGGAAAAACCAATCAACAAGATCCTGCAGAGCGGTGTGCAGGCAGTCGGCGAGTTCTGGCCGATACAAGTACTCGTACTCGAGTACAAACTGCATCTGGCATTATCTCACCAGTGCAACTGGTCTGGGTTTCCGGTTTCTAGAAACTGGTATTTCTCTCCATAACCCTGATCTCTCTACGTTGCCACCACAAAAAACTTCGCGAGTACTACCACAGCACTGTACTTAGGGTACAAGCACCATATCGTGCATCTGTTGGAGTAAAAGGAGATAGCTCAGGTGCCTAATTCAGCAATACCGTAATGACTCGGCACATTGATACAAGTGCAAGTATGGTATCATCGGCATCCAATTTTTGCCTTATTCCTTTGCCCCCAGTGAGCTCGTACACTGCAAACCCGCGGTAGCATCCAAGTACTTGTATCATATCATATCATACCTTGGATTGCTTGTACCCTACGAGTACTCGAGCAGAAGTACCATATCAACCCATCATATCATACCCACACAGTACCGACCATAATCTACGGTATTGGATAGGGAACTGGGTTGGGGAAGTGAATCGGTTAAGTCGAACCAGTAAAAGCACGATATAAATCTGGAAATCTAGATTGATGTAGAATTTAAGAAAACAAAGAACAATTGTATAATTAGAAAATTCCTCCCAGATAATCATAAAACAGTGTGGTATACACAAGTGAATGCTTGTCCCTAACAGCACAGCAATGTATAGACTACTAGACCCCCCCCCCGTGTCGGATCTAGGGATTTGCTTTTATCGGGGGTTCTGCTGTGCGAATTTGAGGGAAAATTCACCCATCATACAAAAAGGGATTTTACTTCTGTTTCTGACCTGCCGAACACATTAACCAATGTTTGTAACCTAACCTCCAGTTAATTTCCCCCCCCCTCATTCTATTATAACAACCCCACTGTTGGAACGGAAAAAGGAAAGAGGAAAAAGCCTCAAGTCCACAAGAACACTTGAACCTCTCGTGCCTGAATAGAACCACCGCCCAATTCTCTTCGCACCTCTCCGGTTCACCGCACAAGTGAAGATCATTGAGAGTGCATCATGTCTTCTTCGCAAAAGACAGGTTTGCGTCCTCCAGTCCCACCCCGCCATTTTGTTTCATAAGCGCGTAAAGCATGATAAGATCGCTAACCCTTAGACTGTTATTCCCGAAAAGCAATTCTTTCCGTCTATAACAAGACCGGACTATTGGATCTCGCCAATGGCCTAGCCCAGCAAGGGATTAGGCTTCTGGCATCTGGAGGCACAGCCAAGTTGATTCGGGAGGCCGGGATTAAGGTTGAGTATGTACTCGAGTACATCGGGCTCCTTTTCACATTTCTTTGGGAAAACGTGTCAGTGCGGATGCTGACCCCACGCTTTTACATCTTAAAGGGATGTGAGCAGCATTACCCATGCCCCTGAAATGCTCGCCGGAAGGGTTAAGACTCTTCATCCCGCCGTCCACGCAGGTATGCTCACCCGCGCCGGCCTGATCTTAAACAGAACTGACCCCCCATTCCAGGCATTCTTGCACGGGACCTCGAGTCTGACGAGAAGGACCTCGCCGAGCAAAACATCGATAAAGTCGATTACGTCGTTTGCAATTTGTATCCCTTCAAAGATACAATTGCCAAGATCAATGTTACAATTGCGGAGGCCGTCGAGGAGATCGATATCGGTGGTGTGACGCTCTTGCGTGCCGCTGCCAAGAACCATTCCCGTGTTACTATCCTCTCGGATCCGGCGGACTACCCTTCCTTCTTGGAGGAGCTGCGAAATGGCGACCGTGAGGTCTCGGAGGCTTCTAGAAAGCTGTATGCTCTGAAAGCCTTTGAGCATACCGCCGATTATGACGCCACAATTGCCGAGTTCTTCCGTAAGCGGTATGCTGGCGACGGTGTCCAACACCTTACTCTTAGATACGGTGCCAACCCGCATCAGAAACCTGCTCAAGCTTTCGTCGAGTCCGGAGAGATCCCCTTCAAAGTTCTTTCTGGGTCTCCTGGATATGTAAACCTTCTTGACGCTTTGAACTCCTGGCCACTTGTCAAGGAGCTCAGGGAGTCTCTCGATCTTCCCGCCGCCGCTTCTTTCAAGCACGTCTCCCCTGCTGGTGCTGCTGTAGGTATACCTCTCTCTGAGGTCGAGAAGAGAGTTTGCTTCGTCGACGATATTGAGGGACTTGATGATAGCCCTCTTGCGTGCGCATACTCTAGGGCCCGTGGCGCCGACAGAATGAGCAGTTTTGGGGACTGGGTTGCTCTGAGTGATGAGGTGGATGCTGTTACTGCTAGAATCATTGGCAGGGAAGTCTCTGATGGCGTTATTGCGCCCGCCTATACTCCTGAGGCGTTGGAAGTTTTGAAGAAGAAGAAGGGTGGAAAGTACACTGTTCTCCAGATCGATCCAAGCTATGAGGTAAGATATCGCACGGTATTGCCGCGCCCCCAAAATACTGACCCTTTTTCCAGCCCCCAAGCCTCGAAACCCGCCAAGTATATGGCATATCTCTTTGCCAGCATAGAAATGATGTCAAAATCACCGAAAAGACTTTCTCTCGCATCATCACTCCTAGCTCAGACTACAAGCTCCCACCCCAGGCCTTGATCGACCTAACCGTCGCCACAATCGCACTTAAGTACACGCAGTCAAACTCCGTGTGCTATGCCAAGAATGGCCAGATTGTCGGTCTCGGTGCTGGTCAACAGTCTCGAATCCACTGCACTAGGCTTGCCGGTGACAAGGCGGACAATTGGTGGCTTAGGCAACACCCCCGTGTCCTCGACTTTAAGTGGAAGAAGGGTACCAAGAGGCCCGACAAGAGCAATGCTGTCGACCTATTTGTTTCCGGCTTGGTCCCCAAGAAGGTCGAGGGCGATTTGGAGAGGGAGCAGTATGAGAGTGTCTTTGAGGAGGTCCCTACCGATTTTACGCCAGAGGAGAGAGAGGAATGGCTGAAGCGATGCACCGATGTCTCTGTGTCTAGTGACGCTTTCGTAAGTTTCCCGGCCACGTTTTTATCAAAGAGGCACAGGTCTAACGCTTTTTTTTCGCGCAGTTCCCCTTCACCGACAATGTCTTCAGAGCCTATAGGTCTGGGGTCAAGTACCTTGCTGCCCCTGGTGGTTCCGTAATGGACCAAGCCGTTCACGAAGCTTCTGAGAAGTGTGGTATGGTGTTTGTGCATCAGGAGACCCGATTGTTTCACCATTAGGTTCGTTGGCTGGGGAAAGATGTTTGGCCCCGGGATGGTGATTTGGATGATAGGGTTAGATCTTGGGAATTTGGGCGAACGCGGGGCGTAGAACTGTATTCATTCAATAAAATGGGATTTCAAACATCGATATCTACATGGTATCGTTAAATTGGTAAATGGCGAAGCTTTTATCCTGTGATATACTTTCTTGAAGATGAGAGAACTGCCAATATTGTCTCTGCGAGTGATTGTTCATGATGGGACCAAGGGTTAAATATTTGCTTGGCGCCAAGCCACCCGTCAACACGACAAACGCGTTCGCCCTGACAAAAGGGACTTACAGAGGGAAGACAGCTTCGAATGGAATGCGCCCCCATTCTGCTCTCTGATACTTACAACGCCACATAATTCATCGCTATGGCTCCGATCTCAACTGACCGTGACCTGTTGAATGATGCCATACGAAACAAAGCCCGCCTACCGTACCTCCCTCTATTCGCATTGTTCAGGAACCTTTCAAGCTAATCCAAACCTACAGTTCCTGGAAATCTACATTTGTTCGTCTAACATCCCCTTTAGAACCTTGCCAACCTTCTGTAACCGCATTATCAAATCACCTCGCTTCAGCAACGTCCATAAACCAACTTTCGAGATGCTACGACCCCTTCCCGCCCCCCTCCGCCGACTCAAAGACTGAATTCGAGAAGCGCACCGCACCCATAAACTTCACGGCGGCCGACCAGCCAGCAGCTGCCCCCGGTGCCAGCACGGAAGCTGGCCATGTATTGCCACCCATTGCAGAATTAAAGGAGGCGGCGCTGGAGTTCTCGAAGAGCTTGCACATCAACGAAGTTGGAGCTTTGCGGATCGTCGTACTCGAGTACCAGGAACGTCCGGCCGTCGCACTGCTGAACGCTAGTGAGAAGGACAGCACTACGGGGAATATGTTTGACAACGGGAGTGCCGAGAGCCAATTGCGCGCTAGTGCCATGATCTCGGACGAGGAGACGAAAAGGAAGGTTTTCTGGCGAAGGGTGGAGATCTACTTGCAGGAGAGGCGGTACATTGTTAAGGTTGCGGCTCTGATGGTTCGGCTGGCGATGTGCGCGGAGAAGAGCAAGAATGTCTGGTATCATCCCGCGAGGGTGTTCGCTACTGAGGGAATTAACATGAAGGATGGATACTCCACGGAGGTCGTTGGTAGTATTGCGACTAGGTGGCGGAATGGGAAGAATGGTGAAGGTCTGCCGGAGTGGGTTAAGCAGCGGGTAGCTTCGGAAGGAGACGACCCGGCTTTTAAGTGGGAGCTACAGGTGCGCATCTGAGCCCCCCCGGTATTCTCGCGTTTCTTCTACTTTTGTCCGCGGGTGGGGGGTTGTGTTGGATTTCGCCTTGTTCGGGAAACTGACGGCGTAGCTATGACAGACAATACGAGAGATAATCCATCTGTTACAATATATGTTTCTGCTCTTTTATAAGGCCCTGGAGGAGAGCACTTCTACATTTGTTGTGGCATGGTTTACGCTTATGAAAGATACCCAATTTCTTACAGAACGAAACTTCGTAAGTTATCCCTTCTCTGCGCTCTTCTCAGATTTCCTGATCAATTGGTTAGCGTTCTTTCCCCGATAATTCGGATATTGTTGGTGCCTATAAATATGCAGCAGCACTTACACCCATTGTTTCCCTTGTTGTATTACAATACCCGAGAGTTGAAAAGTTCATTCAAGAGGAATGGGCGACCCCAGTCTCAAGCGAGTCCTCTGCTACGCCTCCTGCGAATCCTGGACCTCCCCGTGGATTAGGTCGAGCTCCAGATGGTAGCTTTTACATCAAGAATCCGGTTGGAATTAAAGCCATCACTCAGTGTTTCATTGAGACCGCACATAATTCTGTAGCAAGCATTCCCGGTTTCTGTTGGTGCTTGATACTCTACGACCTCCTCTCGTTTGTCAATGAGAGACGGCAAGAAATGGATGAGATGGACCAAGCTGGCCAGGAGAGTAGGAATCCTAGGGTTGAATTTTTCGAGAGTGCGCTTGCTGAGCTGTTTGACGGGGCTGCGGAACGGGGAACAAAAGCTCTTGGAAAGGCAACCGCTGATAATGCTCTGGAAACGATTGTACTCATGATTGAGCCTACTGGAGGACAGTCTATAGGACCAAGGTTCTGGATAGAGGCGGAGGAAGATGGCCGCAGGATGAAGAATGTAGTTGCAGATCTTCTCAGAAGGGCCCTCCATGCTCTTCCACTTTCAGCGGCGGTGCTGGGAGCCGTTCTTTTGGCAAACGAGGTCCAGTACAAAGACTTGGAGGGTCACCAGGTTTTCCTCAGGGAGGATTCCGACACTAGTGACACGATTACGGGGTGGACTGGCAGTCCTGCCGTGAGATTTACAAAGAATGAGGAATCGCAAAAGTTCCTACGACGAGCTAAAAACCGATTTCCGTATGAACCGATTATTTTCTTGAAGATCATGAAGTCCCTAGCAACCGTGAACGTGGGTACCACAAACTATCTCATGAACATGGATACCTATACTCAGGTCCTCCCACAAGGGTTCAGCGACTACGATGTCGACGATGAAGACTCGGATGTCACCCGGATACAATTGACCAATGATTTGGTTGTTTTTGCGCCGCGAAAAGCTGGTCTCTTTGAGGAGGAATATAGCTCTAGAGGAGGTATTGTGATACCTGCCGGTACAATAGGAGAGATTATCTCGACAGGAGGCAGCCGTCCTGTTGTTGCCTGGCAGCATGAATACAACGCTTTCCCAGTACTTGGGAGAGTACTCGAGCAAGCGTTGATTGGCAACGGCTCGGGCTCTGGACCCAGCCATGCAGCGGTAGGAGAGCTGGGCGGCGGCGAAGCGGTCACAGAAATCATAGGACTTCTTACCATTCTCGTTTCTTGTGGCAGCGGGAGCGCTTCAGGGGAGCTATCCCCTGCCCGAATACTTGAGGAGGCCAGCGATCTCGTCGGTCGGAGTAGGGATGTAGTCTCTATCATTTTCGATCTTCTCGAGGCAGGACTACAAACAGCAACAAACTCTTTAAGCGCTGGTAAATCGACTGATTTCATTGTCGCGGCGGTACAATTCGTCGATGCTTTGGTTCCGGCTCTTCCTGGCCGGGTGTGGCCATACCTTGCTCGGAGTACCATGCTGGAGCGACATGGTCGTGGTGGGGCTTTTTATGGGATTTTGTCCGCTGTGGAGGTTGTGAGAGGGGATTACGAGTTTACGATCAATTGCCTAAGGCTGTATGAGGACCTTGTCGAGGAAGCTATCAGGAGTAGTGTAGTCAACATGGGTGGTAGCAGGAGTTTGACTGTGGCCTCTTTGGCCTCTTCGTCGATTACTCGCTCTGGCGTGAGCGCCGCGGTACAAAGAGATATTCTATCAGCTTGGACCAGAGTTGTCGTAGATGTGTTTGAGAGCTATTATGCCTGGAAGTACGTCAATGAGGAGCAAAAGCTAGAGATTGGTGTGTTTCCTGGTTTCCTTGATAATACAGGCCGTAGTTAATTTGGTGTCTACTAGGACAACGCATCTCGAGGATATTCACCAAAATCCTCTCAATGGTCTATGGGGTTGATGAGTCCTCGGATTTGAGCTCGAAGATCACCGGTATTTTGGCTCCTAGTGCTGAACATATCATCACAATATTTTTATCAGAAGGTGATAATGAACTTCCCATGGAGCCCATCATCCGGACGATACGTGTTGGGCTCGAGACGCCGGAATCAAGCTTTCATCTGAGATCTTTGAGTTTTTGGGTTGAGCATGTAGTTTCGGTAATCAAATTTGCGGAGCTTTGTGTTCGAACGCGGGGGTATTTGGGGTACGCATTCTTCCAACCCCGGAGTCCGGGTATTTAATCTGCTAATTTGCGATCTAGGTTACCGCCTTCGCAGCTAGAGAAACAGTTGTACAATCTCGCTGCACCTTTAGCTAAATTATATGTGATCCACGACAGATACCGAGCGCCTGTTTTAGGGATCTTTGAGAGTCTTGTTGCAGCATCTGGAACAGCTCAGTCCGAGCCGCCCTCATTACTAGGACATCTTGGTGCCGATTGTGCCAGCCATTTCACTGCTGTTCTTGGGACTCTGGACAAACCTTTTGATAATGAGCATCTGGAAGCACGCATATGGGGATTTGTGTCCGCAGTTTTGAGCACTAAACAGCAGGGCTTGTCCATATTACTCCTTCGTGGTGAGACGTTATGGCAAGGCGGTCTGAATGGGCGTGACAAGGGATCGAAAAAGTCGATAATCTCAGTCGCATTGGACTCACTGTCGGAGATCGACAGGACATCTTCCACAAAGTCACTGGCAATGCTGGAAGCCGTGGCTCTAGCTCAGAATTTCTGGAGTCTTGCTATGGATGATTTGGGAAAACACCCCAAGTTCCTTCCTGCAATTACCAGATTTGTGGAAGCACAGACAATTGAGTTCCTACCTGCTGACTCTAAGGAAATATTGACGGAAAAAGCGATTAGGGTAGCGGTGGCAGCTCACATTGCACAACTTCTGGCTATTCACTTACATTCCCGCAGACCCTCTTCACGTGATGGGACGTTCTTTAGACAGCTTATTCCTAAGTTAAAATACTACTTTGACCAGGCTGCTACTATCAGTGGATATAGAGCCTCATTACACGTAAATCTGCGCAAGAATTTCGAGGAGAAGTGGCCCGGCTTGACACTGCTGAAGCTGAGAAAGACCACTCTTCAGCGAAAGAGCTACGGTGTCGACTACTTCTACGACTTGAGCCTCGCCGGAAAGGTCCTTTCGTTTGATCCCTGCTGGGACAGCAGAGCAGACGGGTACGCCAACGAGGTAGAGCAGGCGAATCTAAACCTTTCGCTCGTTGATTCTCAAGTGGTAAGGGCCACCACCAGCACAAGAATAGCAAAGCAGGACGTGCTCTCACAAGTCCTGGATACTAACGAGGTTCAGGTCCTCCTCCGCGCGTGGAAACTCCTCTCAATGGAGCTCTGCGACTTTGTCCCTCTTAACAGAGAACTCGAGCAGCCGTTGGTCGACGTAGTAGAGAAGTGCCTGCAAGCAAACATAGAAACCGGCCTACCCCCGCCAATATTCAAGACGATAGTCTGCGAGCGCGCAGAATTCGCATTCGTTATTCTCCGCCGCTTACAGCAGGCCATGCAAGGTGCCAATGGACAATTCGATAGGATTTTGGAATTGGCCTGGAAAGCTATATACACCTCTGCCACCGAATTCCGGCAGGCACTAGCCACCGCAGACGTGGAGTACTACAGGTCCTTGCTGAGGATAATCTACCTGGTCCTGCACGCGAATGCTAGCAAGCCGAACCAGACCACGGAAAGCGCATACATGGTCCTGGACATCCTAAACCTGGTCGTAGCAAAGGGCTTTAAAGAGCTGGCCAGCGCAGCACACGCCCACTCGGAAACTGCGAACCCGGAGGACATAGCACTGGTAACGGCGATTCTGCAAGCCTCCCTAAAACTGCCCGGGATCTCAATAATCCACGACAGCCTCGCAACACACATGGCGGAGAACGGGACGATCCGCGCAGCGACAACCCTCTATTCCTGGTCCGAGCGCCTCGCCACGGAAAACAAGGCAACAGCGGCACACGCGGCGAGCGCGAACGATCCAATATACGGTGAACTCAGCCTCCTCTTCCTCCTAGAACTCTCCACAATACCCGCACTAGCGAACCAACTCGCAACGGAGGGAATCCTAGACCAAATCCTGACCTCCTCCCTCACCGCACACATCGCCCGCCAGAGCGTGAACCCGGCCACTTCACCGCGCCTCTACGCCATCTGGACGCGCGCGCTACTCCCACTCTCCCTGAACCTGCTCGTGCACATCGGGTCGCGGATCGCACGGGAAGTGCACGCATTCCTCTCCTTCTTCGCCCCTCAATTGCGCGCCACGATCACGGCCTGGAAGGCCCGTACCGTCGTCACGCTCGCGGCCGTTAACGAGGCGGTCAGCATCGTTATGGTGCTCGCTGTGCTCGGTCGGATGATGGGGTTGGCGGGTGGCGGGGCCTGCCTTGACGGTTTTGACAAAGCGGCGTTGGTGGAGGAAGTTGAGTACTTGCTTTCCCATAGGAACTATTTGAAGAGTTTGGTGGCTGCAACGAATAAGGAGGAGGAAGAGATGTTGAGGAGGGAGGAGGAGGCGGATGCGAGTGGGAATGGGAACGGGAATGGGAATGGGGGAGGAGGAAGTGTGGAGGGAGGTTTGGTGGCGAAGGTTACGGCCGGCTTGGGGGTTTTGCAGGGGTTGTTGACTGAGGATGAGGGGGAGGATTGAATGTGTGGTTTCTATTAAAGTAGACGAAAGGTAATGGCGATGCGGGGTATTGTGATTCGAAATGGGTTTTCTTTATTTTACTTTGTATATTCCTTTTGTTGTTTACAAGTACCTCTCCTTCCTTCCCGTCTGCTGATGCCATGTTGACAGCATCATGGGATCAAATTTTGTGGTGGTATGATAGTCCTGTAGTGGTAGTAGGGGGATGTATAACAATCATAACATGCTTTACGAACATTGAGGTCGAAAAAGTTTTGATCACATGCCAGTATTTCAGGTTTTCAGTCGAGTGATATAATGTGAGCAAGTCAGAACTCGATCGCGTGTACTCGAGTACAATTCCACTGTATTTAATAGCTCAACTGTTTCCCTTCACCTTCCCTCGCACCTATCATACCCGATCCACCCTCCAGAGGGTTTGCGCGCCGATAGTATACGATGCAAAACCGGGCAGAAAAATGAAAGAAAAAAAGAAACCCTAGACAATGACGGAAAAAGCAAGTAAAAACAAACCCTATCCAACCACATGACTCCGAAATTTGCAAACCCCATGCTAGTCCCCAAAAACGAAAAGTATATGATTATGCATCATCTCCACCTCTAACTCTAGCATTAGTGCCATAATTCCTGCGCTCGCCGGACTGCCCTCTAATATCTTCCCAGGCGGCGTTAACTCTGCGACCGGCGCTAGCGAGGAGGCTCTCATCTTCATCATTCTCCGCATCTTCATCTTCAGCCTCTCTGTTTCCAAGTTTCGGGGGTCTGACGAGACCTGTAAGGAAAGTGATGAGGTAAACTCCTAGGAAAGCGAATTGTGACCAGAAGGCGAATGCTCCAAAATAGGGAAAGTTGAGGGTGACACGGTTGAGGAATGTCGAGACGACGGTGGATGTGCAGATGTCTTGAGGCCCGGATTCGGAGCATGGAATGATGAGCTCCTTATGGTTGCTGCAGTCACGGTAGACGCCGGTTTCAAGTATCTGGGACTTGGTACGTTAGCTCTGCTTGTCTCAACCCGGGGCTGGAGGGGGGCGGGGGGGACCCACAGTCTTATCGCAGAACTTTTGTCCACCGTAGTGCGCGTACTGTGGGGCAATGATCATGGTAATCGAGTAATTGATGGCCAGAACCGTGAGGGTTAGCATGACCGTTGCCATCAACAAACCTTGTGGCTTCGTATGACCAGGCCTTATCCGAAATAAAGATACCCACAAGAACCTTATTCCAACAAATGCTGTTCCCACAACACTGGCGATAAATAGGTCCAAGACGAGAATCAAAGCTAGGACATAGTCGATGGGAAATACCCTGCTGGTAACAACGAATAGCCAATTGATAGGGTTAGGGATGTTCATCTTCGTAAGTATGTATCCGCAGCTTTTCCCGCAAACAGAGTTTTTGGATTTGTCAATCGAGGTCATCAACATTGAAATGAATATCGAGATTGACAACAGGAGGACCAGGATCCCAAATAGGACCTTGAAAGGCCTCCCAATAGCCTGTAGCTTCCCAAGCCATTTCTGTGTAGCGTGGATGCCTTCCTCAGCAACTCTCTGTCTGCGCACAAGACTTCTCTCTTCACGCTGTAGGCCTTCCAACTCACGTCTATCCTTGGCAGTAAACCTGGAGCTAGGTCCGCCGGCATATCTCGCCTCGATAATTCTCTGCCTCTCGCGATTCAAAAGCAGATCTTGGTGCGTCGAAGCTGAGACCGATGGGAGGGATGCACCGCGCACGGATGTAATGAGAAGTTGGGGCGTGAGGGCAAGTCCGGGAGCCGTGTATAAAACGTAGGGAATAATCCCAAGGCATAGCAAGGTTCCGGTGATGAATGTCAATGCACGTTCTCCGTCTGTGCATATACCCTTGTTAGAAGGCAATCACGGGGGGTAGGGTACGTATGGGATACGAACGATTCTCCAGGAGTAACTTCTTGAAGTAATCAAGGTCCAAATGCCCCTTTGTCTCCTTTGCGACGGGGAGAAAGAATCCTACCACAAGTAAAATTGTCACCAGCATGAGGAAGCAAAAGCTATACTTCATGGCGCCCTTGATCCTTCCGCTCGTGGTTGCATCGACATCCCATTCCTCGTACCTGTACGGAAGTCAGCAACATGGACCACGTAAGATCCGGACAATAGCCCACCAGAAATAAGCGAATGGGATGACCAGAAGACACATAACCACATCGAGCGAATAGAGCAGGTAGTAGACAATCTTCAAACCTAGGATAATATGCGCGACGGTTTCCGGGCTCGCCCAGTCCTGCTTGAGGCCCGTAGCGTTGTTTGTAGTGCTGGAGACGAGAGCGATATCGACCGGAAGAAGGCAAACAGTGGCGAGAAGAGATGTGAGAGATAGAACGCAAACCACCGTCACAAATGCGTCGCGATCATGGCGATCTTGGTAGATTTTAACCTATCCACGGTCAGTGAGGTTTGCAGACGCCGGCGAGAGCTAGGGGACGCACGAAGATGGATGCAGCGATCACCGTAAATGCAAGGACGATGATGGCAGTGATCCAGATGAGAGGGATCGCGACTACCATGATTCCAGGGTGAAAGGAGAGTTGTGGGGAAATCTAATGTCGTAAGGGGTGCCGTGCCGCTCAGCGGTGAAATTAGAACCTGTTAAAAAACGCGGTATCACGGCACCAGTACGATACCGATAAAGGAAGCTGAAACGGTCAGAAAAGCCTATCTCAAAGTCTCATGCCCTGGGAGAAACAATGGTAGAGCGCAGGATGGGGTGGGGCAGTGAAGGAGGAAGAGGGGATCAGGGGTTAATAAGGGGGGGAGGGGAAGAGGGAAGGAAACGAAGGATGGATGTTTGCCCGTTTCCTCCTACTTGTATGATATCGTATAAACGAGACGGGATGACGTCTCCCTAAAGTTGGAGTTGAGGTCGAAACCCTAACCCATGGACATCTCTGCCACCAAAAGCAAAAGCCCAGTTACTGTACTGTAACTTACTGCTGCCCAGACAGACGGAATGCCAGTGCTCGAGATTGGCGCGGGCGGCGGGTACCGCAGATAGGCTCAAATCGCGTTGATGGATAACCATATCATGTCCATTCGGGGCTTGGTACTCGAGCGATACTCCTGCACAGGTTCCCATTATCTCGTTAGTACCGGTAGGTCGCTCGGACACTCCTCCGACAGGAGTCCCGTGGACCAACGCGGTACGGTACTGTGGAGGTCTTCTTGACCTACTAGAATATTACCTCGAGGGATGAATTCTCTCTTCCTTAATACACTCGAGTCGCTGCAGCATTGCAGCAACTCACATCCCATAAGCATCACATCCCTCTTGCCATGGGAATAATCTAGTGTTTCCGGCGCCAGTAGTGCACCGGTACTCGTAGGCTGAATCGATCTGAGGCGCTATACCCGTTTCTGCATCCGAAGGGTCCCCTTAGTCTACCGGTAATTGCCGTCCTACAGCATACCAGTACGGGTACTAGAACTACCGTACTGGTATTAGGATGTGAGGTTTGCAAGATTAATCATCTGTATGGTTATTAGCTCTTGGGTTATCTGTCCATGACACTAGCAGAGGTAAAAGGGTCCCCGGCGTTTTCTACTATTGTGACCATCGATGGCGGGACTTGCACGCCCCAAGGTGTGGATAAGTTTTCATACTCGCACGGCTGAATTGAAGCCGGGTATTTTCCTATCGAAGCACAAGTTTGGTAAGATATGATGGGGTGTGCCGTGCAAGCAGTACTCGAGTGGATATGGGGGTCTGAGCAAGCTGATAGCTGTTTCTTACGTGCACTTGAATGGTCATAGTTGATTTCGTGTAATTTACTTCTCTGTTCTGCTTTCCTGGCAGGTATATGCCGTTTTCAGCACCCAGAGACGGTTTAGGAGCATTGGTACTCGTAGACTATGGGCAGCCCTAGTCAGTTAGACACACTACTCGAGTGCACGTGCTACGGTATTTGGTAAAACTTTCAGTTTCCTGAAAGCAGGGTAACCCCCCCTCAGGTGCTGCCATTGGAAAACGGCAGTCACGCCAAACCCTAACTCGCACTGCAAGCCTCTTCACTGATAATCCTTGGCAGACTTGTCAAACAATGCCAATCTCCTCCACACTTATCGCCTCACAACACATCAAATAGCGTCCCTGAACCACCAACGTCGAATCTCCCATCCGCCGACAGACAACCGCTCCAAATACCGGGCCAACCCAGAAGAAGAGAGAGAAAAACTTTGACGAACAGACAAGATGGTACGATTCCCTTTTCCTTTGGCTTTCTACGAGACATTGGGAGAGTGGGGTTGAGGGGGGAGGCATTGAGGTCACGTTTTTTTGCTAGCACGCGATCATGACAGCAGATTTTCTGGGGAGAAGGAAAACGAAAGGCAGTGTTTGCGGGAACCTCGTTGCTAATATCATGCTTTACAGGTTCTAGCTGAAGATCTCCTTAACCCCGCTCCCGCCGCTGAGGCTAGAAAGCACAAGCTTAAGGTAGTAAACTACTGTCATTTTTCTCGTAAATTTCGGCCCCGCTAACCATGCATATATAGACACTCGTCCCAGCTCCCCGTTCATTCTTCATGGATGTCAAGTGCCCTGGCTGCTTTAACATCACCACCGTTTTCTCGCACGCCCAGACCGTCGTCATCTGTGGATCCTGTGCCACTGTTCTTTGCCAGCCAACGGGTGGGAAGGCCCGTCTCACTGAGGGCTGCTCGTTCAGGAGAAAGTAGGGGATTTTGGAGTGTTAAAAACAAAAAGCAATTTAATCGATTTTTACTGGGATGGTATGGACCTTGTGGGATGTTTCATCATGGGTTTTTATGATTTCTTTTTTTCGCTGGGGATAGGGGGATGGGATAGCTCTGTTAAAAAAACTGTCCTGGCATTTTCATTATTGGTTTTTTTTTCGGGGTTATTTTCCAATTTTTGTTTTGTTTTGCGGGGTCGATGTACTGATAATAGAAGACGGATGGACTCGATCTTCTAGCATATGCTGGACGACGGGCTTTCCTGATATTAACTGCAATTTGATGTCGGCCTTTGTGGGTTGATTACGATTCATCATTTACGTTCATAGTTTGATGTGTCTTTGGCCATTGCACACTGGTGGCGGACTGGTTCGTGATTTAGCTGCCGTGATCAGCACGGTATTCATGTATGATATGCTGCTCTACCGATCCGGCATTTCCCGCCAATTGATGACTTATCCTGGGCAAAAGATATCATTCAAAGACTGTGTACAACTTCGCGCTCAGGTCCGCGGTCTGCGGACACCAGCCGCTCGCCTGCTTTCGGATATTGACGCTCGGGCCGTCTCTTGCGTATTGTTTTCGCCCCACCCTTGTGTACTATAGTATCCGCTTTTCGCACTAACCAATAGATAAGTAAAGTACCCCCGTTGTCTGTCTCAGATCGGGAACCTGGGACATTTATATGATACAAAATTTTACCCATAAACCCACCCAGAATTCCCAGATATGGCGATTAAGTCAGTCGGGTATTCAATCATTTCCTATACCACGTGATTACTCCGGACCCTGCACAGTACGTGGTACTCACTTTCCAGATTCCATGCTACATATCACACTAGCCTACAACACAGTTCGTACACTTCTGCGCGGGGGCTAAAACAACGCCCGAGTGTAAGAAACGTTCAGAGGGGGGGAGGCAAATGGTGGGTTTAACTGCACCGAGAAAGTGGATAAGTGCTAAATCTAGCTATAATATCAATCATTTAGGGAGTAAATGTGTTCGGGTGCATAGGGAGCTATCGCGCAGTTAGCGGAAGAGCCTCTTGCCAGCTTGTTGAAGTTAGGGCCTAGGCCATGCAATCTCAATTTGGGAAAATTATTAGTTGATGTTGGGGGTGGTCTCTTTACTTTGTATCATATCATCATACTGTATAATACTACTTGTGTGCCACCCCTCGCGGGGGGGGGCGAGTCGAGGCGTTGTTTGTCAAGCTAGTGCCATACAGTACTCGTTAACCGCCGTGAGTGGGCATTAAACACATAGTCCCCGGTTGAGGAATCCGCTGGTCCAAGTTCCGTGTTGCAGGGGATTACCATACTCGGATCGGGTGTAGAGTTAATTAAATACACGGCTGGGGCCACCGCTCGCGTCCTCCATGGGTATAATAGACAGCGCATTTTTTATTTTTTTGGTTGTAATGTAATATATGTCATGGCCGTTTGTGTGTGTCCCCTCCTGCTCCCGGTTGGAGGCGGCGCAATTGAGGTTCCTTCAAGTGATCATACGAAGCCGGTGGGAGAGTGCTAGGGCACATGCTTGGCCCCAAGGTTAGCAGCGGAGTGTCGGTCCAGTTTTCGAGTTCTAATCATACTTGACTGTTTTTTCTCTCACGGCAGGAGAGCATAAGCAGGTTGCATCGGAAGGGTGCAAAATATATCTCACGCAGTGGACGAGTGATGGTATGTGATTGGGATAAGCGTATAATATCTCTTGATTTGGGCGGTTTAGCATTTGTAAGGCATGATATGATACTAGGGAAACCACCACCGGAACTTTCCATATAGGTCTGAGTTGCTATTATAAGGATATTGCCACAATTCTTAATTTAAATTTCTCATTACGGCAACCCATTCCACTTCAAACATGCGAACCCAGGCCAGAACTCACAGAAACTATTTCCAGAACAGCAAGGATAGCAAGCAAGGACCGACCATTTAATCATCAGTAGTCACTCGTATCCAAAAGCGATCCGGGGACCACCAAGTTTGATAGTTCAGGGAGAAACCTACCTTGGGTGTTCTATGCCTTTGTCCCTTCAAGCTCCTTCCACTATCTTTTTTACCTTATCGTGGACAAGACTTGGTCCACCACTCCCCTTTCGGCCATCATTCATTTCATTTCTTCCTGGAAGAATACATTTCTCCCGTGAAACGTCAGACACAAAATCGAGTACTTAATCAATCACATCTACCCGAATAGTAATCCCGTGAATTTTTGCCTCCCATTCCTCCGGTTATCAGTTAATTGCAATTCCCCTTTCCGCCACCTTTCCTCTGCTCCGCTTATCGTGACCCCCGCTGCCAAGGCGATAACCAATAAACTTTATTTTTTTTCCTTTCCCCACCCCCACCTCCCACAGTCCCTTCCCTGTACTTTGGCCTATCATACTTGTACCCTCAGGCAAAGCATCTGTCTTAATTATTCTGTTGAGGTACTGCGCTTATGTTCTTGCTGGAAACCTTTTTTAATGAAAACAACCCCTAACTGACTGGCTTCGCCGGGATCTTTATTGCGGAAGCAATGAATTACCGTCTCGACCATGCAAAAAGCATTGCTAAGGAGTGTCATGGGAAAATCCCCGTGTTGAGAGCTTTACCCATCAGGGTTCTTGCCGTTATTATGGCAGTTGCTATTGTGAATATGCTGTGTTGGGCGGGTGTGGGGGTAGCACTCGTGAGTTTCCCTTTGCCCTCCCCGCATTATTCTAGCCGATTGCTAACTGAGAATAATGGGAATTAGAATAAGCACAAGTCTGTTCTCACCTTTTGGGTTATTATAATTGAGAGTAATTTTTCACAATTGACACTGGCATTGGCGTGTCTCTAGAGGGTTGACAGGCACTTCAGTTTTGGCATATACATTGGGGTTGAGGCATGCTCTGGACGCAGACCACATTGCTGTGAGGAATTCCCTGTTCTTGACGTGGTGAATAGAGCACTGACGGAGGTGATAGGCTATCGATCTTACTACAAGAAAATTAATTGCATCCGGACAACGTCCTGTTACAGTCGGGATGTTTTTTAGTCTCGGGCACTCCACGTACTTTCTCTCCTCCCCTCGCCTCGTCCCCTAATGGCGCAGGCTGACGGTCACAGAATTGTCATGGTCACCTTGATTGTGGTCGCTGGAACAGCTGCGGGAGTCAGTAAACGCTTCGATGATTTTGCTCGTGTCGGCGGCATCGTCGGAACTTCAGTTTCCGCGGCCTTCCTGATGATATTGGGCGCGATGAACGTATACATCTTGTATAAACTCGTCAAGCAATTGAATATGCTCATGCATTCCAGACAAGAGGGTGTGCTGTTCGGCGAGGGTATTGTGGGTGACTGGGATACTCCGGGCGCGGGGTGTTTTACGAGGATGTGTCGAACACTTTTCGGGTTCATTGATCGGCCGTGGAAAATGTACCCGTTGGGAGTGCTCTGTAGGTTCGCCCGTGTTTAGGGTGAACGAAAGACTAATGGGGATGCCATTGTAGTTGGCCTTGGGTTCGATACTTCTTCGGAGGTGAGCAATGAAATGCGCATTATAGGATGGGAAACTAATGAGCATAGGTTGCCCTTCTCGGGATCGCCTCTATCGAGGCAGCGCAGGGGACGAGCATCTGGCTTATCCTCATCTTCCCAGTCCTTTTCACCGGTATCCCCATTTCTTCTCTCTCGCTTCACCCACCTTCTAACACTCCAAAGCGGGAATGTGTCTCATCGATACCACAGACGGAGCCTTGATGTCGGCCCTATACACCACCTCCTCCTTCGCCCACGATGACATAGCAATCGTGTACTACTCCATAGCCCTAACTATCCTAACAGTCCTGGTAGCAATAGTAATCGGCGTGATCCAAATACTCTCTCTAATCCACCATGTCCTAGAACCCACCGGGAGCTTCTGGGACGGCGTTGAAAAGGTCAGCGAGAGGTACGATATTATCGGCGGGTGTATTGCCGGTTTATTCATAATCACCGGGATCGCGGCATATGTTATGTATAGGCCTATCCGTAAGATCATCGACCAGAAAAGGTCGCTGATCGAGCCCGCCGCGTCCGCTCCTTCCAGAGAGGATGTTAGTATCCCTCCCGCAGGCGCTCTTGGGGATGCTAGTACTACTAATTCGGGGGTTAATCCGTTCGAGGATGAAATCAGAGCTGGAGTGGATAGCAGGGTGTAGGCTAACGAGATTGCCGTTGGGCACTTTGATGGTAAGGCAGGGAGTTCTAGTAGGTGAGATCCTAGAAACAATAATAACGATGACAACAATTGCAATGACGAGATGAATGATTTGTTTTTTTGTCTTCATAATATTACACCTGAATGGGGCTAGTATTTGCCATTTGGAAGATAGTAGCGTGCTATCATGGAATAATTAAATCTCAACTTTATCAGGATCACATCCTCGATATTATATCTCCGGTGTCACTGCCCACGTGACACGACACGACGAGTGACAAGAAGTGATTGTTTCACACACACACACAGAGCAGTACTGTAGGAACGCTAGCCTATGACACAATGAAGTGAAGGGGGATTGTTAAGGGTCTGTTTGGATACGACAGTTCGCGTCCGTTCCGTTCCGTTCCCCATACAAATTTTCTTACCCTTCCGTTTCGTAACGGTGGTTTTGTATGAGAAAGTTGAACAGTCTCAAACGGTTCCGTTCCCGCCAAACAGAGCCTAAATCTTATCAACCAAATTTTCTTCAAACAAAAAGATTTCGCGAACTTTTTTCAATTCGGACATTCGGGTGGGGAGTGGGGGGGGGGGGTTTTAAATTTTTTTTCCTCTGCTTGAAGACCGTTTTTTTTTTAGCTTACGCAGCACGATACGGAAAAACATGGCCTCAGTTGATTGGAAGAGGACTGAACCTTTCTTTCGTGCCTAGCCATTCTTCATACTATGGTCTATGCCCGTTCTGCCGCTCTAAGGATGCTGAGTATAACATATCAAGTCTCGCCTTTATCGTATCATCCGAAAAAGTTCTTTACGCTATCATACATTTTTTTTCCATCGTGCTCTTCATTTTTTGTTCCCTCACTTGGGAGTGTGGGGGGTAGTCTATAGGCTCTAATAGGGACTCAAAGTCTCAACTTTCAACCACATTCCTTTTCTTTTTCAGTGGGGCCCTCTATTGGCGGTTGAATTCATGTCTCCTGCTTCGTCAGGGCAGACAAGATCATTTTTTATCTTTTTCATTTTTCTCACCTACCCATCATTTTCTATGACTTTAAATGCCCCCTTCCCCCAATATCGTGGTGGGAAGTAATATCATGCACTGGTTCTTTCGGCTACCCGTGAGGAAACCACGGCTAAACCATACCAACGGTTAAAATGCATAGGGCAAAGCGCCGTTTTTTCACAACCTGAAACTATGCCAAGAGATTAAATTCTACCTGTATAATATTCTAAAAAAAAAATTAAAAAAAAGACCAGTATCCCGCTGCCAGAACACCCACCCGTGCGCCGCCACCACATATATAAAAATCACTGCATCACGAATTAGGCTCTTAAAGCCCAGCTGGCCATTCCCAATTGACATCCAAAGCCACATACGCACATCCAATACATTGCCTACCTATACAATTTCACCGCCTCTCCCCCTCCCCGCCAACAGTATACCCTCTCGCAACCCCACTCCTACCAGCCTCTACCACAGCACCAAATCCATCATTCCCGCTCTCATCCTCCTCATACCTTATATCACTGCCCAGGCCTTTCCAAGAGCGCTTATCTTTCAAAAACTGTGCAGCCGGAGAAACTACCCCTCCAACGGCACCGCTAAGTTGTTTTGACGAATTAGAGGTGTGTATTAATGCGGTTGAGGGGGTGGAGGGATCTTGTGAGTGTTTTATGGGGCGGGGTTTTCGGCGCATGGGACGGGCGGTTGTTATGTATCGGCCAGTGCGTAGGTCGAATTCTGGGGGCTCGTCCTCCTCTTCATCTACTACCTCCCCCCCACTCTCCTCCCCGATTTCTGCCTCTCTGCCGTTGGGGGCCTCCGCACACTTTGCATCCCCATCCATCTTAAGCAAACTTTCGAAATCAGACACCCAGCGGCCCGTCCACTCCCACCCGTCCTTCCCGCTAAGTGCAATTCCAATCTCAAACGGGGTCACCACACCCCTGAAAAACCCTCTTCCACTCCCTTCTACACCACCCCCTACAATCCCCTGCTCCCAGCAGCCTACGCCCACCCAAACCTCCACTTCCGCGAAATTTGCCACCTTCTCGACATTGACCTTACCAACAACAACCAAGTAACTCTTCCTCCCGGCGTCCCGGATCTGCCGTTTCAGCATTGATATCACCGGGAGGTAGTTTTTCACGTTCAGGGTGTTGACTAGGATTCCTATAATATTTGCGCTACGGGCATAGGAGAGGAGGGCGTATCGCCGGCGGAGGAGGACGGAGGTGGTCTCTTGGTTACAGGTTGGCGGGGTGGTGGTTGTATCATATGTGTAGATTGAGTGGACGCGGGAGGTCAGGACTAGGAGGAGGGAGGGCAGCGGGGGCGAGATGTGGAAGAGGGAATATGACTTTAATCCTCCTTCTTCTCCCTCCTCTCCCCCTCCTTCTTCCGCCACGCAGTCTGGAGGAAGACTCCTGTTGGGGATTTGGGCTGATGGGTCATGTATTACCTCTGTTGGATAGACATTGGTGTACCCCATTTCGCGCAGGATCTCGTGTAAGGGGGCGACGTGAGAGGAAAATATGACGTCTGCCATTATGATCACCCTTTGTGACTTGTCCGAGAATGCATTGCAGAATGCGCCGGCAGCATGGGCGAGGTCTAGAGGGTTTGAGGTAAAGACATAGATTACCGGCAGGCGGGTGGTGGGTGAGAGGCATGAGCGGCCGTAGTGCACGAGGACATCGGCTGCGCAGTGTTCTGCGGCGATCTCATCGATGCAGCAGGCGGCGTATGAGGTGTCGGCTAGGATGAAGGCTCTCTTGGGCTCTGAGATTGGGGTGATGATAGTAGTTGTGCCGGCGGTGGGCTGTGTGATTTGGGGGGTTAAGGGTGTTTTAGAGCAACATACTCCAACACCGGACGATTCTTCGGGTGCTCCTATTCCCCCATTGTGTGTTGGCTTCGGCAGCGTATCCACAGCGTAATTTCCTTCTCCACTGCACTTTTCTCCTCCATTCTCTGCTTCACCCCCGTCCCCTGTAGCTCCCGCCCGAGACTCCCGCCCGGCCCCCCGGTTTATCCCCTCCAAAACAAGCTCATAAACCCTTGTACTATCTGCCAGGAGTTCATCCGGGAACTGTAACGCAACCCTCTTATACCCGCCAGCTATAATCTCCCCAACCGTCCTATCGATCTCATATAGCTCTCTGAAAGCCACCCCATCGAGGTCTCGGTGCACTCCGAGGTTTGCGGGCCTCTCAGTATTTGCAGATTCGAGGATTCGTGTATCGAGGGTGTACAGCGGGAGACCGCCGGTTAGGCTTGTCATGGGGAATTTGGAGACAATGGGTTCTTGGATTTCGTTGTAGTAATTTGAAGGGCTATGGCCAGTGTATTTTGTGTGAAAAGGACAGAGAGGGCTAAATACCGGTAGGCGGGATCGAATTTGTTAGTGTTGCTCTGCAACACAACATAGTGGTGGGGCAAGCTGCAGGGAGGGGCAGATGATGCTGAACAAGCAAGAGCCTCAAGAGCCGGGTAAGTTAAGGTTAATAATCATAAGTTCAAGGCCCGCGTTGGCCCGCCTTTAAAGCTATCATACCACAACAAAGCCGAATACCCGCCCCACCAGTCGGTCCATTCATTCTCTACGAAAGAAAAACAACTCCAAATATACCCATTCCGGAAGCTTGTCCTTTGGCCTCAGGCTGGACCCGATTCTAGCTATGGCATATAAATACGACACAATCTTTCTCTCCTCAGATGTCTTCTCCCTCTCGGTTCATCCTACCAAGCCCCTTTATGCCGCTGGACTCCTGGGCGGGAGGCTGGAGGTCTATACATGGGATGATGGGTCTAAAGCGGGCGGGAAACCGAAGGAGGTCATAGTTGACCATGACGAGAAGTATGCTATGCAGTGGGGTACGAGAAGGTATCGTCAAAGTTGCAGGGCGGTTGCTTTTAGCGCGGATGGCGAATGTATTGTGTTCCCCAGCCCGAAGTTTTTAAAGTGTGTAGATTGACATTCGTGGCGTCATAGATATATTTTCTGCCGGTGTAAATTCACTCCTTAAGCTTGCCGATGCGAATACAGGACAGGTTGTTTCAAAGGCCTATGTTCCTTCGTTAAAAGATCTCACGTAACATTTCCATTTTAAAGTCAATTATATCCCAGAAGAGTTGCTAACGGCATATTGTCATGCAGAGCTGAATATCCCTCGGTCATTGCTCCACTATCTTCAGCTCACCTGCTCGTTGGAACCGATTCCAGGAGGATCCATCTCTACGACGTACGCGAGAATAGTCTTACGCGGCCAGCCCAGACATGGAAGAAGGTTCATGATGACTACATCTCTTCAATCACACCACTGCCTTCGGCCGGTGGGGGCCTCGCCCGCCAATTTGTCTCTACTGGTGCTTCTACACTTGCCTATATCGACTTCCGCAAGCCAGGGAAGGCGGTCATCAGTTCGGAAGACCAGGATGACGAGCAACTCTGTTCCGCATATGTATCTGGCCTGTCCGCTAGAGCCGGACGTGGAGGTGAAAAGATACTTGTCGGGAACTCTAGTGGATTTGCCGCGCTGTGGAATAGAGACGAGTGGGAGGATCATCAGGACAGGATCAACTTCTCAAAGTCTTCCGGGGAGTCTGTCGATGCGATTGCCGCCCTGCCGGACACGTTTCGGTATAGGAATTCCGAGTTTGGGAAGTTCGTAGCCGCGGGGTCCGCCGACGGAAGAATCCGGATTGCCAAATTAGGGAGCAATCGCATTGTCGAAACTCTTAGACATTCCTTGGCCACCCAAGAAGTCGGGGCCACTCCAGCGAGCACGGGTCTCTTGACCAACGACGAAGGCGTAGGGGGCGGCGTTACGGAGCTCGGGATAGACTGCGAAGGAAATTTGGTCTCTGCAGGTGGTTGCACAATCAAAGTCTGGTACTGGGATGAGAATGCTCCGGATGCTCGGCACCCAGGGAAAAAAGGAAAGCGCAGTCCGAACGAAACCGACACCGACACTGATCTACAGGATGATGGGTCCAGCGATAATGAGCAACAGTCCCACAAGAAGAAGCGCAGAAAGAAGCGAAAGGGCGGAACCGGGAAAGCTAAGAGCGCGGGCCCGCAGAAAATCGCCAGTTTCCACGGGCTAGATTGAGAGGTTTTATGTGCTACCTCGCACTCCCCCTCGATCCCTCTAATTTTGGGGTGGAAGTGAATATTGTATAGTAGTTTTTTATCTTCCCTTCTCGCACCAGTGGCGTTTAATATCATTGATGGCGCATTTTTATTTTGGGTGATGGGTTATGAGGAGCCGTGAATGGGTGGTACGTGGTGGGTTTTGGTGGCATGGGAAACTCGTAACTCCACCACATTTATTGTCTTATTAAAATTCACAATGGAAGGCATTGGATTGAGAACGATATGAAGGGGTCATAGCTTACCCAGTTAGCAATGAGAAGAGGGGTCGCAATCTTTCTAGGGGTGCAGTGACCCCGTTGACGTGCACAGAATTCCATGCTTCCCTTGACCCCCGGAAGACTCCTCCCCGCCAATTCTCAGCCCCCCAATATTCACTTTGTATGGATGTGGTGAAGTCGTTGCCCCCCCCCCACTTTTCCTAAAATATGCAGAGTTGGCATGGGGAGTATAGCTTTCCCGTCCTGATAGATGTGGATATGTGGTTTCTCTCTGGCCGACTACCTGTCAAGCTTTGTCTGTGCAGCAGTGTTTGAAATCACACGCACGGGGAGGAGGGCAAGCGAGGCACTATGGGTGCTGAGATGGCCACTCAGTAAGGTCCTGTCTGGCATGCCACTGTTTGCAAAGTAAAACCTCCAAACCGCGATTAGTAAGATATGTGGTGTTTTGGCAGCAAAAGTAGTCTGCGAACCCTAGGGGGGTGTTTGGCACGTCAAGGTTTGTAAGGTAAACCAAACTGCAGTGTATAAGGTAGAAAAATTCTATGCTACAAAACATATGTAGCCAAACACCCCCTCAACACTGGTAGCATGTAGTTTCAACAGGTGTAAGGCCAAATAGGGCCTTAGTTAGCGCAATGGGTGGCTTGATCCCCCTCCGTGCTGTTCCTTTATTCGCCGGTTCTGCCACAGAATCACGGCAGGGCAAAAATAGCGATGGTTTGCGTTGGGAAATCACCCACGCTTACTACTGCTGATGGCTGAGGCGATTCCACGTTCGGCAGGGTTTTGGTGTCAGCAATTGCCGGCAGGAAAAGAGGTATCATACGCCCAAGATTGTATGATACGAGTCTGTTTTCTTTGATGCATCATAAGGTTGCGTGTGGCTACTTGGGGGAGGTAAGGGAGCATGACGATTACATCTAGTACAGTGCAGTACCGCACGAGTACTTGTATAGTAGGTTACTATCCAACCAAGCAGTCCAGCTAAGAAACAGAGAGTGAATTATAAACATTATTCTGTGACAGGACCAGATTGAGCACCCCCACGATCCTGTACACAATTAATATGCTAGGCCGCGAATCCCGATCACAAGCTCAAAGTGAAAATTCGAAATACCGAAAATGAATTCCCTGAATGGCTAACTGGGGCCTTTATCGCTATTCGTACATGACATAAAACTTTGGTATGATACCCAGTTTAGACCGCACGTGGCGCAGAGATTATGGTTTCTACTTTTAATGTGCCACGAAAGAGATACCTGTGATAAGGAACTGCAGTGTACGCTGCTGGAGGGACTTTTGCACAAGGTGTGTGCTGAGGGACAGAGAGATAGATAGATAGAGAAGGCAGTGATTCTGTAAACCTCTAGAGACGGGAAACTCCCCATATGAATTCCCCGCAAGTTATTAGAGGTTCTAGTGACATCCCTAATTACTGTCCCCTCCCACTATAGTTTACGTTATAGGTGAAGGCCGGTATAATACTATCATACTCCAGGGGCTAATCTCCCCTCTCAGTCATTCTCCCATCCCTCATTTCCTTTTCCAAAACAGGTCTTGGGAAGATTGAGGACAGGATGGTGATAGAGGGGAGCTTCAAGATATCGCCATGTATCCTGAAAACGTCTAGAAAAGCTGGTCTACTATGATACTCTGTGAATTAACGGAAACCGTGTGATCAACCCGCTTTTTTTTTTTCTTCCTTCCGTACTGTACCGTACACAAAAGTAGATCTCATACTCTGGTAAGGAACGCTGCACAAGTATACAAGATAACGTCAAGGTCTACTACACTCGCGGCTCTGTCCCACAAGATGAGAGTGCATCACACAGCCGGGCAATTAGAGTATTTGACCGCATACCGCCGGCGCAGCACAAATGACACACCGGTATTATACTCGGGTACATACGGCACATATTATAGGTATCATACTGTAGGTAATCCCCCCTCACTAACCCACCTGCGCAATCCAAATTATATAATACGACAAACCAACAATCCCAGCACACTGGTCCTGTGTCTTAAGATCCCCACCCAACAAACCAACAACCAAACACGAAAACGAAGACGAAAAAAAAACCAATTTAGGTACATAGGTAAGAGCAACAAAATCGACCCAACATTCTGAAATCCCAACAAGAAAACAACTCAAACAGACCCTCCAACCCGGTACAGAGCGGAAACATAAACGAGTGAGCTTCCGTGACCGGCACAAGCGCCGATATGCAACAGAGTGCGCGGAAGCTCGGTCGACAAGGCTAAACACGCGAACCGGGGCTCGCGTCTACGAGTAGGTTGGCTAGTTATGCCGACTCACCTCGTTTGTGCAACCTACCCCAGACGTCTGTGTGAAGCGTGTTAAACTCTATCGGGAAAGAGTTCGCGGGGGGGACGTGGGTTTTTTTTGTTTTTTGTTCGATTCTCGCTTCGGATGGTACTTGTACGAGTACTCGTTCGATGCGATGCTGTTGTTGCTACCGTACTGTAATTGCGGTGTGCTATTCTCGTTTTTCCTTCCCCTCTTGGTTGTGCCGTGGTAGGGGTTGATTTGCTCGCGATGCGGTACAGTACTGTTCTGGTACGGTACCATATATACTCGGGTAGGGAGCCAATCTTTGGCACCGACGTATCAAGATGCTTCGCACAGCATTGGAGATGATTACGGTAGGCGATGGTGCCAGGATATAAGTTACCAGTATCATATCCGGAAAAAAAATTAAAGTCGGGCTTCAGGCAGCTTGGTGGCCTGGCTCCGTGTTTCATGATAGGTGCCGAGATATAGGAGCTATTATTATACCAATATCTATTCTGCTCGAGTGCTTTGCGTTTCTTTTCTTCTTCACATGGGGGGGGAGGGACATGATGACCTACGCTTTGCACCCTTGTGGCTTCCTGAAGAGGGAAAGAGGGGGGGGGATAGCGACAAGTACGGTACTGTATACCGGCAGATTGACGAAATCGATATCTTACTTTATCATCATTCTCTAGTGCTCGCACGAGCGCAATGCCTTCTTTAGACTACATACCGCAAAGTATTACGGTTTTTCTTCCGGCTGGAATTGCTAGTGCACTTTCGCACAAGCGCACTAACCGCCTGGATTCAAGAGAGCTCGACAATTATGATAGGCATCAATTCTAGCTCGATATAATGCTGTATAGCCATTATATCCTATAACATTATAATCTCTCCCTCCAGCGAACCGTACCTACTAACACGACGCGGCATCATACGGCCCATCTTCCACCCAAGCACACAGTACTACATAGTGTACTGTACCACCCAAACCCGCCATTACCAATCCATTTCTCCCCGGTTTGTCCTCTCACTCACTCACCCTATTCGCCCCCGCTCTCCCGATTCAGTCTCGGTGTCGATTACTCTCATTCTGGTCCTTACGCTGTCCACCGCACTGTACCGTTATCATACCGTACCGCACTGTACAGTACTGTACACAGCAGTGGTAACATTTGCAGAACATTATACAGTACACCAAGTGCTTCGAAAGAAAAAACAAAAACAAGGAGCGGTCACCGCTTACTCTAACTCCCCATGTACCCACTTCTTTTTTTTTTTTTTTTTTTACCACCTCTGTACCTCTAACAGTCTACCGGTATTTGCGTGAGTTTGCGTGACGGGTTGTGTTGTGTCGTACCGTACCGGACAGCGGTCACGTATTGGGTCAGGGGGCTGGGTTAGATTAGATGGAGAAGAGGATAGTCTAAGTTATAATACAGTAGTTATGAGAACAGGAGACGCTATGTAGAAAAAAGGGAAGGGAAAGGTGGAAATCTGGGAATCACAATTGATGTCCAAAGTCAGGTTCAGAGGGAGGAAATAAGCATAGCTAATGGGATACCATCATACCGGTATGGGATAAAGTTATTCCCAACAGAATATTGACGTTATCATACATTAACCAACTTCTAGCTAAACTCTACGAGCAGGCTTTATCCGTGGTTCCTCTGAGGTTGCGAGAGAGAGAAAAGGTCAAAAAAAATCGCATACTGTATGGCCACCGCAAAGTCATTCACGGTTGCATCCGTCCCTCTCACTTTCTTCCTCGCTAAATACGGTACTCTACAGTACTGTACTAGTACAGGTGCAAGAACGTTAGCCATAGAGGAATAGCACTTTGGAAATTCCAACCCGGATATATTCTGTTTGCCAGTGGAGCCAGAAAGATCAAACCCCGAGCTGTGTACTGTACGAGTACGGTACGGTAGTCGAAGGTTCCCAACTCCAGAAAAGAAGCAAAAAAAAAAAAAACAGCAAACGGTGAGCCCTGCTATGATAATAATATTATAGAACATGAAGAAAACAAACAAGCACGATACGATAACATTAAGCATCGTATCATACCGAATACTCGCTCCAAGGAGGAGGAGGAGGAGGAGGGTAAACCAAACGATACAGTGCTTTAGCCCGATTTTCTTCAATTCCTACTGTATGCCTGCACCTGCATTATATATATGCCCTGATACAGGCAGGTAAATAGCAGAAGAAGACCACGGCACGACAACCAGTTTTGCACTCTATAATACCATCGCCCAGTAAATTTAATGTCTCCTTCGCTAACATTGCGGGCACCAGGAACACGAACAAACGAACGGCCGGAAAAGAAAAAAAGAAAAAAATCTTTTGGGATATAAGTTACACTGTTTAAAACGACGCTACATCTGGTAGTGATACCGTGATAAAGGCGAGCCAATAGATTATGAGTGAGTACAAGTACTCACTATGCAAGGAAATGTTGTATCACTCACAGAACAAACTATCTAACTTAATGTGGGGGA